ATGTCGGAACCAGACTTGTGACAACATGGTATGCGAGGACCATGACCTGCCGAAGAGTGACACTGATGATGCAGCTGTATTCATGATGCGGAACAGTGACTATCACAACCAATTTAAGGAACTTGAAGGTGCTCTCACTCTTTGAAATTAAAGAGCTGTCTTCAGAACAAACAAAATGATGAGTTTTCGAAAAAGCTCTTTGAACTTACAATTTTGACTCTTACAAAATCCGGAAACGAAATGATTCAAAGGTATAAAATAATACAACTTGATATTAATTAAATCTTTTTAATCATGTTAGCACTATTTTACCTACCTTTTTTCATTTCAAACCTATTTATTGAACTTAACTCACGATAAGAGCTTGGAGTTGACATTTGTTTTTGTTTTGTTTTGTGGGGCGGCCATCTTGGATTTAGCCTCGTTCTGAGTTTGAACTACCAAACCGACATGGCCATCATACAGTTTTGATATGTAGAGACCATAACAACTTTAAAAAACATAAAAGTGTTTGGTCCCTCTGAGTGGTACCGAAAAATTGTCTGGCTCATGGCCTATATGTGTGAGAGGAACAGTGCAAAGTTATATTTTGATATTCTGATGTTACCAAGGATAATCACAAATTACATCTCTAGAACTTAAGAAAACATCCCACATCAAATTTGTTCAACCAATAACTTAACAATCATTTAATGCATGTTTTTTTTCCAGATTTTGAGAAATGGCTTCTTTGTCTACAGAAAAGGTGCAGTAAAAAGTTTGATAAAAAATCTTGTATTTTTGTCAAGAATAATCAATATGAGAGAGACAGGATTGGTTTCAAAATACTAGTGATGGTATTCAAATGTCTATATGAACTTGCTCCAGCATATCTCGCAGACCTCATTAAACTCTACCAGCCAACACGACATCTGCAGTCACAAGATCAACTGCTTCTCTGTGTCCCCTCCAACAGAATCAGAACATTTGGAGACAGATGTTTCTACACATCCAGACCTACTCTATGGAATAGTCTGTCATTCAGCCTAATGTCACATAATGAACTGTCAGCGTTCAAAGCAAATCGAAAGACCTACTTCTTCGGAAAGGCTTACGATGTTCCTCAATAGGGACCCTCAAGAAGTCTTTCAACAGCCAGTTCCTAGCTCAGTATACCGCTTTTGAATGGGACGACCAGATCCTAGTGCTCTACAAATATTTCGATAGACAGATAGACAGACAGATAGATAGATATCGTAATATATCACATTGTATGAAGTCCTTAGTACACTGTCAATGGTGAACTATATTCATAAAAAAAAATTCTTGAATCTCAGGTGTGAGGTGAGGTGAAATGGGGTTTAACGTTGTACTTCAGAATATTTCGCTCATGTGATGACGTGCATGCGTGTGTATGTGTGACTGCTTGTACTAGCCCAGACTTAAGCTGGTTTTATGGTGTTAGCTCACTGAGATACCATGCTGCAGTTAAGCATGAATATCCCACTCGGACACATTATACTGACTCCGAGCCAACCAGTCCTTGTTGTACCCAATAATGCTGAGCGCCAGACAGGGACCAACAAGTACCATATTTTAATGTCATTTGGTATGACGCGGCCGGGGATCGAACCTGCGACCCTTTACGCTCTCTGGGCGGACGCTCTAACCACCACACCAGTCTGAATCTCAAAAGAGACACAAAATACAACAAAGAATTATTTGACAAATATGGACAAGTTGGATCATTGCCCAGTTTATTTACACAAGATTTCCACCTATCACCTGAATGAATCATTGATACTTTAAGTACAGTAAAGAAATGTCGTCTTGCAAACACAAAGTTATTATGGTTAACTTGGTTACCATGGACACCAGAAAGACCATTCCACCATATAATCCCCAGTCGGGACATGTCTCCGGTTGGGGTGCCCATGTCAACAATTGTGACAAGTTTTCAGTGGAACTCTTCACCGAACTTCAGAAAAGAAACAGAAAACAGCTCAACAGTCTTCTTATGATGTTGAAACACTTGTAGACCGATAGTTTATATAAATATATCAGCTTCTCACAGGAGACCACTCTGTGTGAAGATCTGAAGACCCTCGGTTGAACGTAATAAGCCACTCAGAATCAAATCTTCCAGTTCTCAGTACAAGTCTGTGCAGCTTTTAGCACAACATATTGATATGAAAAATCTGACCAATTCCAATACAATGGTGTAGATATTCCACAATGTCATTTCCATTTTGTGGCATCTGTGCCTGAAGGGATTTGACATGGAAGGAGTATTTTCATTTCGTGTAGTTATTGTTTGTTAAGATATATATTGTGTGTAATATACGGAATTGCCCAATCCGCGAATTACACAAAGGTATTGCCCCGTTCCCGTCAACCACGACCTGGCTTGCTTAATCTGCGGATTGGTCAATTCCGTATATTACGCACGACATATATTTATATAATATCAGATTTGAGGTGAAAGGGGAAAGAAGCTGAACTGATTGAAAAAGCTGACATCTGATTGGTCGGAAAACACACACAACTTGTGATTCCCATTAAGGGTGTCAGATCTTCACACAGGTGGGTGAGGTAACAGAGTATCTCATCCTTCCCTAGAGCGAATGTCAACCTTGTAACCTCGTGTCCTGTGGCTTCTAGTTATCGTCCTCTTCAACATTCCATTAACTTACACAAGTGTGTGAACATAATGTCAACACCAAAGGATGAATATTTCCATGACCAAGAGATGAAGTTCAAAACGTTCTGTTGATAGCACTGATTCCTTTCATACCCTGAAAAACAAAAGACAATAAATTACCATTACCTGGTCAACATAACGTGATCCTACCTGGAGTGAGTGAGTGAGTGAGTGAAAGAATGAGTGAGTGAGTGAAAGAGAGAGAGAGAGAGAGTAATATTCCAGCAATATCATGGCAGGGCACACCTGAAATGGGCTTCAAACATCAGTGGCGGATCCAGATGTGTGTGTGGGGTGGGGTCCAGTGGGGGTGGTGTATGTGCGGGGTTCACCCCCCCCCTTTGAACATGACTAAAGACCACATTGAAGTCGAACCCCTTAAAACATAGCGAGAGAGAGGGAGGGGGGGAGGGAGGAAGAGAGAGAGAGAGAGAGAGTTTTACGCCGCACTCAGCAATATTCCAGCTATATGGCGGCAGTCTGTAAATAATCGAGTCTGGACTAGACAATCCAGTGATCAACAGCATGAGCATCAATCTGCGCAATTGGGAACCAAAGACATGTGTCAACCAAGTCAGCAAGCCTGACCACCCGAGCCCGTTAGTCGCCTGTTACAACAAGCATAGTTGCCTTTTGTGGCAAGCATGGGTTGCTGAAGACCTATTCTACCCCAGATGGAGAGGAAGGAAAACTCATAGGCAGATCTCGGTGTGTGTGTATGTGTGTGCCTGCGTACGTGCGTACGCATCAACCCTTTTGTCCTGAAAGTTTATTAAACCCCATTGAAACTCTCATGAAAATTAACTGTGCACCCCCTTTCTCAAAAAGCTGTATCCACCCTTAAAACTGGACTTTTAAAATCAGTCAACTTGCCTTGGGTAAAATGACAATTGGTATAATGTCTGTCAGCTGTCAAGTTTCTTTCTTTCTACAGATGACATACACACTAAACATACACTGATGTATCCAAACATCTCACTGTTGCCCTCCGGATTTTTAACTATCTTACAAAAGACAAAATATGATGCCTCACCATAATTGTCTTCAGTATATACTACATGAAATCATCATGTTATTTGTTCGTGCTGTGTTTCTAGTGGAATAATGAGCAGAGTTGTGTCCCTTACCCGCGTCCTACCCAATGTTATGTGTCAGTGGGGGCCAGTTCGGAATGGTTATGATTGCTCCTATGGGATCTATCTAGCCCTTGCTCAGTGGCTGGGAAAACCCAAGTCTAGAGCTATGGATAGTAAAATTTCCATGAAACTCACGTTCATAGTTATTTAAATTACAGTGGAAGCTGTGTAAATCGGCAGCTGTCAAATCCGGCAAGTTGTCAACACCGGCAAAAAATGTCAGTCCCATCTGTGGCTAGTACATTTTCCTTCATTTAAAAGCTCTGCAATTCGGCAGCTGGTAATTCCGGATCACGGCATGAAATGAACCACCCGAATATGTGTTTATATTCTAATCAGCACTGTGTAATTCGGCGTGTGGTGAGGAATCGGACGGATGTGTATTGTCAACAATTAAACCCTGCGTTGAAATAACAAGGGATCATGAGCACGCGGCATCACACGTTAAGTAACTACAAGTGTCGACAAAGATAATTGTTCAGTATGGTTATACAAGTACATGTAATTAGTGACTTGACACATGTCACTCATGGGGAATGCTAAATAGGGGGCGACTTTTGAACACCAACAGCCACTCTTCGTATCAACATACCAAAGCCAGCCAAGCGGGTCTGTTTGGAACTTACTTTAGATCAGAAAGTGAACTTGATAAAAGACTTTGAGGTATGAGGTATGTCAATGGGTGCAGTAATTGAGAGAAGCATGTGTTACAACACTACAATGTTCAGTTCTAGTCGTACATAACCTCGCCAGCTCTACAGTCCGGCACGCTGTCCAAACCAGATAATTTCTTCAGTCCCGATGGCTGCCGGTTTAGACAGCTTCCACTGGATTATAATATTGCAGCAACATGTAGTCCCCTGATAACAAGACCGGTATCGAGGAACGGGACAGTTGCTTAGTTTTACGTAACTACTGAATGTGTTGAGTATGATGTTAACTAAATTTGGAACAAAAACGACTTTGCCCCAATTTACCTGCCATTAAGTCTGGGATCCTTGTCTCTTGTTTTTTCCCCATCAGACAAATGCTCTTAGTTCTGCAACAATTACTTACAGTCCCATTTCTCATAACCAGCTCTCATTTTGTGAATCTTTTTCCCCTGATGTGGAAGACAGCTGCGACGAGCCCTATCTGGGATGTCTCTATCAACATCATAAGCATATTACGACATCCTCAACTACTTACTTCTTCACCACCTGGACAACGTCTTCGTCATTTAGCACATGCTCCTTACCAACCTTCTGGGGCTGATGCCGGGCTGACGATCCCCACACGAGGGCGCTGTAGGAGAGACGAAAAGCCCTGATTAGAATACATGACAACTGTCTACATGTGGCACACTGTCAGAGCCCTAACCCCATCTGTTAGCTAAGGTGCAAAAGCCCAACTCTCATGTACATATTTTTATAATGTAATTAACATGTGTGCTGGAATCCACTGAAAACCCATTTCCACTTGATGACGTTTTCAGACATTGGTGCAGAGAGTCTACTGGTATTATATGGCTGCTTCATTTGTTATCCTGAAATAAATACACAGATTACAAGTGATTCCATGACATTTGATCAGCGAACCGAGTCATAGTTTCCTAACGGAAAACAATTACGCCACAACCACTATGGGACTACTGTTTCCTGACTGGCAGAGAACACAACATGAAGGGCTTGAGTTGGCTTATGGCGCAGATCAATGTAACTGATCTTATATTGTTGCCTCCTGTTGGGGGGGACAACAGAAATATGCTTCACACATTGTGCCCATGTGGGGAATCAAACTCAGGTCTTCATTCTGATAAGCGAACGCTTTAACCACTAGGCTACCTCACCGCACACAATTCACAGAGGAGTAAATGATTAAAGGTACAGTGTTTCAAGTTATTATTATTAACATATTCATTGACAATTGATTTCAACATGATTTCCCGTTACTCAAACAACACTGATTTTATTTCTTATATATCAGATTATTTTTAGTCGCTTGCCATAAAAGGCGACTTTGCTTGTCGTAAGAGGCGACTAACGGGATCGGGTGGTCAGACTCGCTGACTTGGTTGACACATGTCATCGGTTCCCAATTGCGCAGATCAATGCTCATGCTGTTGCTCACTGGATTGTCTGGTCCAGACTCGATTATTTACAGATCGCCGCCATATAGCTGGAATATTGCTGAGTGCGGCGTAAAACTAAACTCACTCACTCATGGAACATAAGACTCAACAAATATTTGGTCTTCTGTTCCTGTGGTCCTGTATGATAATAATTCTACGTATTTTCCCCATGATGTATCATGAAGCTCCCTGGCTGCCTTAAGTAAAGCCCTCTTAATTACTACAGCTGTTTTGAATACATGACCAATTACAAGTCAGTCTTCTTCATGCCATCCACACTCAGCTGATAGGCAATGACTTGCCTTGATGGTGTCACTATCACTTCCCTCTTACAATACAACATCTGCTTTGTTGCATTATAATTTTGTTCGTTTTGACTTTGTGACAAGAAAATACCAACAGGAATTAAGTCTGTGATGTCACAAAGATTGTTCCTTGGAGAAGAGAAGAGTTGTAATCTGTTCTTTGTCATCCTGTGTCTGCTGGTGTTCAGTTTAACAAGGAATTATTTCATTCAAGCAGGTGTCCCAACAAACGGGGAAGAGTTGCCTCCCTTTAACTCATGGAGTTTCTAAGTATGAACACAAATCTTGAGGTCTGTTGCTGTAGTATTGTTTAATCTGGGGACTACCAAAACCTAAACATCTGCATGTCCATAAAGTGTGGCACTTTTCAACTAATTCCAGTCTAAGAGCCATCTTGTGAACTGACAGAATATGATAGAGTGTGCACTGATCCTCAGACACCATGTGACACAAGCACTGTGTGAATTTAACCACTTGTCTGTAGTCTGAGTCCCGTAAAAGTCTGTTCAGAACAGTAACACTAAAATCTACTGGAAATGATCAGATCCCTGTACGGGATAGTTTTTTATAACCATTGTCTCACAGACCGTAGAAGTAAAAATATATTCAGAAATTTGATGTACTTGATTCTGTGATACAACTCAGATTGAAACTTGGTACATACACATCATCTTATTCCTGTGACATTGCTCATGATATCAATCACTGGATTGTCTGGTCCAGATTTCTGACCGGCTGCAGTCTTACTGCTGAAATACAGCTGAGAGCGTCATTAAACAACAAACAAACAGTCCTGAAAAGGATAGAGTAAACAAATGGTTGACAACGTACTATTTAAATTCTTTCATGATGCTTCTGTGGATCTTGTTACAGAAGTCTTCTACGGTACTCCTTCCCTGCTTCAAGACAACGGGCGAGCTGTAGTCGGGGAGCTGGCCTTTCGGTTTCGTGTATCTGAAAACATCAAACTTCATTATACTCCAGCAGTAACACTTCGATTCGAAATTCCATATATCAACCAAACACAAAATATCGTAAAATATACCAGTAATTATAAGTCACTCACAATCTTTAAAAATGTAATTTCTGACTAAAATTGATATTTTATACTTATCCTGACTCGAGAGTTGACTTACTCGTACATGAAGAAGGGTCACATCTCTACTTGATGCACACATCAAGAGATGGAGTTGCAATAGATAACTAATGGAACATTAGTATATCTAAAAATCCACACGAAAATGTCAGGAGAAGTTTCGGAAGAAATCTGACAAGTTGTGGTTCTCTCTCTTAAAAACGGAGAGAGTGACAAACATTGCTGGTCATGTGACCAAAAAGGACGCCAAAGGAGGCAAGGGAGATTCGTGGGTGAGTGATGATTTTACGTCCGCTTTTTAGAAGGGAACTTCAAGGGTTTTCAAGTGTTCCACTATCATTCGCAAGAAGAAGGAGACAAGCATTTAGCATGAGTCAGGATAAGGAAAAATAATAATTTTCAAAAAATTTGTAAGATCAGGTGGTCAGAAAAACTGACTTGGTTGGCACATGTCATTGTATCCCAATCGCGTAGATCGACGCTCATGGTGTTGATCACTGGATTGTCTGGTCTATACTCGATTATTTACAGACCGCCACCATATAGCTGGAATATTGCTGAGTCCTTTGACCATGTACTCACATTCTGACCAGCTGCAGGTAGTTCCACATTTTTTCCAAGAGGTCGTCGAAGTTCCACTTGTGATGTGCTGAGATGGGGACACAATGGGGAACCTTGTAGATGATGTCAAGCTCCTGGAGGGGCGAGAACAACAAGAAGACCATCACAGGGGGAGGTGCACGGTTTCAACAACTAAGACCAACAACACTACAGTCATCGTCATAATCTCCATTTGATAGAAACAAACAATTCCTTTTAAATTTTAATAGGGGCTTCAGGAGATTCCTGAACCTGAGGAAATCTAGAATTTCTTTATTTAGGGCCAGAGGTACAGATAAGCTGCGTATCTGCGTAAATTGTGCAAATATTTATGTGAAAACTCAATTCCTACGCTTGAATTTTTGTAAATACTCAATAGATGTGATCTTACATGCGTACACACAAAAGTGTCAAATCTTAGCTTGCGTACCGGTGGATAGATAAAATAACTGAGGTGTTTTGAGAGGTTCTGTTTCAGGACTTGAACTTGACAACTTGCAGTCTTTCTTATCATTTCTCATATTACAGATCAAATATAAATAACAAACACTAACAGTTAAACTTTATTATATTTTTACAATTAATGGATTATGACAAAATACCCAATTGAGTTTGAGTGAGGTGAGTACACTTTATTTGGTTACTCAAAGGAAGATTAGGATACCCAATTGAGAGGAACACAAGTGAGTACATAACTCAATGACCCAAAAAGTTATCTGTAGCTCTGTAGGGCTATATAGCATTGCTGAAAGGGTGGTAGAGAAAAGAAAATATGTTGCTTCTGGAATACCATAGCCAGGGGGGCTTCACTTTGAACAGATTTTCAGTTATAGCACTGTCTATATGATTAAGTGGAAAACAAACTGAAGACCAATTCTTTTGGGTCTGGACAAGGGAAGCAACTCCTAACAAACTATCCCTGGAGGCCATGTGCATGACAACAGCGACCTGTAGTACAGCAGGGTAAGTCTTTAAGACATAGTTACTGATACACACAGTGGACTCACCTCTATAGAGATCTGGTCTATCTTGTTCAACAGGTAGATGCAGGGTATATACACCCTGTTTCCCTCTATGACATCGATCAGGTCCTCGGCCGTGGCGTCGTAGCGGAGCGTAATATCAGCATTATGGATCTTGTATTCACTCAGGATAGTTTTTACCAGATCTACATCTAGTTCCCGACTGCCCCACCTGGTGGCAGAGTAAGGGGAGATAATACAGCCATTAGTGAAACAAACACGTCTCAAAATATGGCCAAGGTGTGATTCGTCACATTTGCTCTGTACATCAGTCATGCAACAGGGAAATTTGTAAGAACTTACAAATATACTCAGGGAAATAAATAAAGGAACACACATTCCTTTATGCACCCACAGTGCAATACAAAGTATGCGAAGAAACCTGGGAAAGAACATACTAACATTTTAGCTTTCATGTGTTCCGTATTTGTTTCCATGAATACATTTTGAAACAATCTACTGATCACGACTGATTTACATGTTAGTCCCTCAATGCCTGATAGCATTCCTGTAGCTTTTGCCTACTTTGTGATGTTCCATGCTCACTCTACAATATGTCTTCTCTGTGCCCAGGGGTGGAAATAACTTTAATATTGCTAGTGTACACCGGTACAGTGGCACATGTAAAATCACTTGCCCTGATAATTTTTCCTCTATACCGGCCGATTTTCTTGTTGATTGTTTTAATAAACAACATAATTAACATTGGAAAGTCAACTGGACATTAGTACAGCGTGATATACAAATATGCTTGCCCAACTGGAAAAAACACTGGACTCGGGCGTCGGGCAATGGAATATTTCCATCCCTGGTGCCTACTCTGTATAATCCTACATCTACTTCATGATGGTTCATGCATGCTCCATGGTCAAAGAAGACTAATCTGTCTCTGCCTACACACCGTGCTGGTAAGGTTAAGTCCTCCCTTCTCCTTCTTCCTGAAGACTATATTTGGTGGTGATTTATTTAACCGGATTCCGAATCCTTCCAGTTCTCTCTCGATGATCTTCTTGTGTTGCAGAGGTTTCAAAACATCCAGGACAATAAATATGAGCCCACATGTTCTCGCAACTGAAAACAAAATCTTGCTACATAATGTCGCATTCACACCATAACAATTTCTGTTATGTATATGATACAATGCTTTTTTTGTTTTTGTTTGTTGTTTAAAGCAACTCTCAGCAATATTTCAGCTATATGGCTACGGTCTTTAAGAAAGTCTGGACCAGACAATCCAGTGGTCAACATCATATGCATCGATCTATAAAAATGGGATACGATGACGTGTGTCAAGCAAGTCAGCTGTTAGCCTGACCACCCATCACATGTGGTGAATGCTGAGCTTCAACATTAAATAAAAACTTGGAACACAGAGTGGAATCCCTCATCATGGGTTTCTGTGGTGACAAAGACATGCAACTGTGAACAGCGAATTGCCATAGACAACTGTCAGACTGGACACCTGAGAGCTTTGTGTACAACACCAGGATTTGTCTCAATTAGGAGTGCCGGAAACCACCGTCAAGAGTCAGTATGTGAGTGAGTTTTACGCTGCCTTTGGCAACATCCCTGCAATAAACAGCAGGGAAACCAGTACCTTGACACATCGCACCTTGTGGGGACCTAAAACCTGGGCGACGTTGCACAAAGAGACCTTAATGCTAAGGTGATCACAACTAACACTCGGAAATATAGACTAACGACAGTCGTAGAGCTAAGTTTGCCGAGTACAATGACACCCTGACAAATATCCCATGAAGAAAACCACTAGCCTACCCACAACTGCCCTGCACTCCACCACTAGCCTACCTCCACTAGCCTACCCACCACTGGCACCCTACCCACTACCACTAGCCCACCTCCACTAGCCTACCCACCACCACCACCCTACCCACCACTACCCTACCCACCACCACTACCTTACCTCCACTAGCCTACTCCACCACTACCCTACCCAATCAGCTAGCCTACTCACCACTAACCAGCCAACCACTGCCCTACCCACCACTAGCCTACTCACCACTGCCCCTACCCACCACTAGCCTACCTCCACTAGCCAGCCCACCACTGCCCTACCCACCACTAGCCTAACCCACCTCTAGCCTACCTCCATTATTCTACCCAAGACAAGCCCACCCACCACTAGCCAGCCTCCACTATCCTACCCAAATACCTCTGCTAGCCTACCCACCACTAGCCTACCCACAAGCCGCACTCCAAATACCTACTCACTACTAGCCAGCCACCACTAGCCTACCCACTACTAGCCTACTCACCACTAGCCAGCCACCACTAGCCAGCCACCACTAGCCTACCCACCGCTAGCCTACCCACCACTAGCCTACTCACCACTAGCCTACCCAATCGCTAGCCTACCCACCACTAGCCTACCCACTACTAGCCAGCCCCTCGACTAGCCCACTCACTACTAGCCAGCTTAACCCACCACTAGTCTACCCACCACTAGCCTACCCATCACTAGCCAGCCTCCACTAGCCTACCCAATCAGCTAGCCACCACTACTCAATCGCTAGCCTACCCACTGGCTAGCCCTACCCAATCGGCTAGCCTACTCACCACTAGCCTACCCACCCCTAGCTACCCACCGCTAGCCTACCCACCGCTAGCCTACCCACCACTAGCAAGCCTCCACTATGCCATGTACACAATGAGAACCATAGAGCTACAGAAGTCTCACCTGCAATGACTTGCTTGCCTCTACCTTGCCATCCTTGGCACCTTCAATAATACCGGGCAGATCCAGCAGCTGTGGAGGTGGAGACCAGTGTCAGACATTACAAGTGTCATATAGAATGTGTGATGTATTAGTTAGGAGATAAACATCAAGTGTTGGCGATTTCCGGTGTTATTGAGTATTTGAAGCACGGGAATTCATTTGGAACCGACGGCGCCAGCCGGAGGTTTCAAATGAAATATTCCCGATGCTTCAAATACTCAATAACACACGGAAATTCTCAAAACATGATGTTTATCGACATTGTAAACACAAAAGTAAACCGAAGGTCCACACACGCTTTTTGTGTCTGCTCTCATTAACATCGAAAGCACGGTACAGCAGTGAAATGTCATCAGCCCGGCCGTTTCGGGCTGTCTCCCATGGTAGCATCTGAACTGCTCATTTGTGACGCTCATTCGGACTTTACTTCACAATATGATTTTAATGACGTCATCACAGCTGACGTGACGTAACAATACAATGGTGTGAGCCGATATTTGTATGTATTAATACGCAGAGAATTTCCGGAATCAAATACCATTTGATCACGCGTTTTCAACCAATCAGATTAAAGAACACAGTGATTTTTGGTTTACAATGTGTGATGATGCATGTGGATATACAGTGTTTGACACATGGTGGATGTGATATACAGTGTGTGGCACATGAGGGGTGTGATATACAGTGTGTGACACATGATGGATGTGATATACAGTGTGTGACACATGGTGGATGTGATATACAGTGTGTGACACATGGTGGATGTGATATACAGTGTGTGACACATGATGGGTGTGATATACAGTGTGTGACACATGGTGGATGTGATGTACAGTGTGTGGCACATGATGGATGTGATATACAGTGTGTGACACATGGTGGATGTGATATACAGTGTGTGACACATGGTGGATGTGATATACAGTGTGTGACACATGGTGGATGTGATATACAGTGTGTGACACATGGTGGATGTGATGTACAGTGTGTGGCACATGATGGATGTGATATACAGTGTGTGACACATGGTGGATGTGATATACAGTGTGTGACACATGGTGGATGTGATATACAGTGTGTGACACATGGTGGATGTGATATACAGTGTGTGACACATGGTGGATGTGATATACAGTGTGTGGCACATGGTGGGTGTGATATACAGTGTGTGACACATGGTGGGTGTGATATACAGTGTGACACATGGTGGGTGTGATATACAGTGTGTGACACATGGTGGATGTGATGTACAGTGTGTGGCACATGAGGGTGTGATATACAGTGTGTGACACATGAGGGATGTGATATACAGTGTGTGACACATGATGGATGTGATATACAGTGTGTGACACATGATGGGTGTGATATACAGTGTGTGACACATGGTGGATGTGATGTACAGTGTGTGGCACATGAGGGGTGTGATATACAGTGTGTGACACATGATGGATGTGATGTACAGTGTGTGGCACATGATGGGTGTGATATACAGTATGTGACACATGGTGGATGTGATGTACAGTGTGTGACACATGATGGGTGTGATATACAGTGTGTGACACATGGTGGATGTGATGTACAGTGTGTGGCACATGATGGGTGTGATATACAGTATGTGACACATGGTGGATGTGATGTACAGTGTGTGGCACATGAGGGGTGTGATATACAGTGTGTGACACATGGTGGATGTGATGTACAGTGTGTGGCACATGAGGGGTGTGATATACAGTGTGTGACACATGATGGATGTGATGTACAGTGTGTGGCACATGATCAGTGTCTATTCTAGAACTAAAAATCTAGGGGATTTGTCCCCATCATGTAAAAAGAGTGGGGATTTGGAAACAGTAGGGGGAATACCACTATTGCTGTCCCTCTAAATAATGTACCTGTAACCTCATGTGAATAAAGAATAACAAACAATATGAAGTTTGTTTTTAGGTGAGTTCTATCTTTTCTGTAATGACTGAAATGAATTTCCAAAAATTGAACTAGATTCCTTTGAAATTCACATCTTTAAAACTCTATTTAATGCTTACAAATAATTTGTCCACATCCTGTCCACTCAAAGTCAACTTCATAACTTCTGATTCAGATTGTTACATATTGAAAGAAAATCTTTGAAAGATCCTCCTTTGCTTTTTGGTTTTGAATTCCTCAAGGGCCTTGCTGGCATCAAAGGTTGAAACAGGTGGGCCCTCAATACTTATTATCATCAACTCTTTGAGTGCCTTCTCACTCAGTCTGTTTCTATGTGATGTTTTTATAATATTTTGACTTGAGAAACCACGTTCACAAATTGCTGTCTGGACTGGCAAAGTTAATCCAATACAGGCAAGCTTCAGAAGGTTTGGGAAAAGGTCCTTGTGACAGCCATCAATGATTCTCCATAATTCATGGAATTTGTCTCTTGGATACTTCTGCTGAATCAGGAGGCGTTTTAACAGGTCAAATTCTTGTTTAGCTGACCCTGCATCGATGAGGGCGGGCACATCACCCTTAGGGCTGCCATATTGAGAGATCAACACATCTAGTTTCTCCTTACCATGACTTTGAAGATTTGTTTCAGCAACAAATGACAAGTCCCTGAATGCCAACACATCAAAAGATGAAATCACTGTAACACTTTCAGGGGGGAATCTTGTGTTAAGATTTCGATCAGTGTCTTAATAAAGGTTGTCATGGTTGACTTCACAACTGCCTCCTGCTGTTTCTTGTATTTCAGTTCGTGCCCATAGAGGTGATTGTCATCTGTCAACAGAGACTGGAACTCTTGTCTGTAATGTCCATCATTTTCTTTCAGGTACTGAAGTTTATCAATTGTACTGGCAACCACTGGCTTCAGTGATGCAACATCCAAACTGTCTTTTTGCATCACCAAATTAAGCTCAGTTATCACTGGTATTACATCCATAAGACTCCAGGTCAGCGCAGCAAACTTGAAGTTAGTGATTGACTTCAAAAGACCTGTAGCTTTTGGATCCCTTGATAGTTCAGTTGATTGAAAATATACAACCAGGCTGTTCCAGGATTTGTAGATAGCTTCCAACACATTGTAGAAGCTGAACCATCTTATATCATGCATTTCTCTTACTTTGATATGAGGCTGATTGAGCAGTTCCTGTAGCCTAGCTAGTGTGCTGCTTCTAACTGATGACCCCTTGAAATAATAGTACAGGCTTGTGAGAGTAGATTTGTACTGTTGCATAACGTCAATCTTGGCAGCAGACTGGCTTGTACATAATGCAAGTCTATGTGCAACGAATGGATGTTGATAAGAAATGGGGATGATCTTCTAAGCTGTGCTGCTACACCATTTATAGATCCAGTCATAACACTGGCACCATCAGATGCAAAACACAAAATCTGTTTCACATCAACACCAATATCATTGAAAATTGCAAGGAGTTTCTGGGTTATAGCATCTGCTCCCTTTTCACCTAAGTCAAAATTTCCCAGAAAGTGTGATCTCACATTAAAGTCTTTGTCAACAAATTTGACATAAACAATGAGCTTTCCTGTCACTGAAATGTCTGTGCTTTCATCTATCAGAATTGCTACACAATAAGCATCCTTTAAATCTCCAATTATCTGAGCCATGATTGTATTCGCGAATTGCTTCCTGAATGTCTTCAGCAAGAGACCGTGACCTGTATGTGGCATTACCACCAACAGTAAGAATTTTAACATTGGTGCAGCCTTCCTTCTCCAACAATCCTAACAGAGAACCATACTTTTCAATAGCAATGTTTTCTTTGCAAAGTCAATATACTGTGTCAATAGCAGACTTAACCGCTAATTCCTCATTGGATACTAAATTAGACACAGAAGCCTCTATTGTCGCTTTCACGACTTAAGTCATAGCTATTAGGAAAGCTGGTGGTCACTGGTATGTGCATGTCTAGATAGTGTGGATGTATGAAAGTTATTGCAGCCATCACCAGTAAAACTATTGCTCATTTTATTTTTGTTACAATAGTCACATAACATCGCACCAAGCTCGCTTTGAGAGAGCCATGGCCATTCTTTCAATCATTTTTCTGAAAAACACTTGGTTTCATCTTTTTAGAGTCGGAAGGACCGGGTCGGTCTCAAGGTTTTTTCGCCCTTCGATTCACACGCCACTGTAACAGACGTATTGGTCTGGGAAGGCGTGGTTGTCACTTTTCTCAATGGTACTTTGTGCAAAAAAATCAGTTATTTTCATTCTTTTGCGCGACATTATTCACGCCTAAATTACCACAAACCATTGTAAATACAAAAATTCGTCTACATTCGTCTTCTGCACTACTTCAAGTGATAATATTATTTTATTTGAAAATGAAACTAAAAGCGAACTGATTTTCTTAAAAGATCGAGGAAACTGTGTCTTGAAAGCGATATACAATATGCAATGTGTTAAGAGTTTTTAGTCTAAGGATTTCAAACAATTATTTAATCAAATCATAATTTTATTGAAAAGTTTTATCTATTTTCATACTGAAGTGAATGGGATTTCGTTTCCTCAGTGCCGGTAGTGGATTTTACCAAGGGAGGTTACTCTGTCGTGTATTCCTGTTGCTATCGACTCTGTGGCTGACTCTGATTTAAAAATCATTCTCTGTCAATATAAAGCTTTTAATGATGGTTTTGAAAGGTAGGTAGGGATAAAATTATTATCTTAGCGACAACTCGCTGTGAGGGGCGATTTGATAATTATCAGCGTGAATCGCGCAATCGTCAGCGTCCTAGAATAGACACTGCATGGTGGGTGTGATATACAGTGTGTGACACATGGTGGATGTGATGTACAGTGTGTGGCACATGAGGGGTGTGATATACAGTGTGTGACACATGGTGGATGTGATGTACAGTGTGTGGCACATGAGGGGTGTGATATACAGTGTGTGACACATGGTGGGTGTGATATACAGTGTGTGACACATGATGGGTGTGATATACAGTGTGTGGCACATGGTGGGTGTGATATACAGTGTGTGACACATGGTGGATGTGATATACAGTGTGTGGCACATGGTGGGTGTGATATACAGTGTGTGGCACATGAGGGGTGTGATATACAGTGTGTGACACATGGTGGATGTGATATACAGTGTGTGGCACATGATGGATGTGATATACAGTGTGTGACACATGGTGGATGTGATGTACAGTGTGTGGCACATGGTGGGTGTGATATACAGTGTGTGACACATGGTGGGTGTGATATACAGTGTGTGACACATGGTGGATGTGATATACAGTGTGTGGCACATGGTGGGTGTGATATACAGTGTGTGACACATGGTGAGTGTGATATACAGTGTGTGACACATGGTGGTTGTTATATACAGTGTGTGACACATGGTGGGTGTGATATACAGTGTGTGACACATGGTGGGTGTGATATACAGTGTGTGACACATGGTGATATACAGTGTGATATACAGTGTGTGACACATGGTGGGTGTGATATAGAGTGCATGACACATGAGGGGTGTGATATAGTGTGACACATGAGGGGTGTGATATAGTGTGACACATGGTGGGTGTGATATAGCGTGACACATGAGGGGTGTGATATAGTGTGACACATGAGGGGTGTGATATAGTGTGACACATGAGGGTTGTGATATAGAGTGTGTGAGACATGGTGATTGTGATACAGAGTGTAACACATGGTGGTTGTGATATAGTGTGTGTGACACATGGTGGGTGTGATATACAGTGTTTGATACATGATGGATGTGATATAGAGTATGTAACACATGGCGGTTGTGATATAGAGTGTGTGACAAATGATGGATGTGATATACAGTGTGTGACACATGATGGGTGTGATATAGAGTGTTTGACACATGGTGGTTGTGATATAGAGTTTGTGACAAATGATGGATGTGATATACAGTGTGTGACACATGGTGGGTGTAATATAGAGTGTGTGACACCTGATGGTGTGATATACAGTATGTGACACATGGTGGGTGTGATATAGAATGTGAGACACATGGTGGGTGTGATATAAAGTGGGTGAGACACAGGAGGTGACACATGAGGCGTGGGATATAGTCTGTGACATATAAGGTGTGTGATATAGTCTGTGACATATAGGGCGTGTGATATAGTCTGTGACACATGAGGCGATGTGGATATAGTCTGTGACACATGAGGCGAAAAGTGATATAGTCTGTAACATGAGGCATGTGATATAGTCTGTGACACATCATGCGTGTGTGATATAGTCTGTGACACATGAGGCATGTGATATAGTCTGTGACACATGAGGCGTGTGATATAGTCTGTGACACATGAGGCATGTGATATAGTCTGTGACACATGAGGCGTGTGATATAGTCTGTGACACATGAGGCATGTGATATAGTCTGTGACACATGAGGCATGTGATATAGTCTGTGACACATGAGGCATGTGATATAGTCTGTGACATATAAGCGTGTGATATAGTCTGTGACACATAAGGCATGTGATATAGTCTGTGACATATGAGGCTTGTGATATAGTCTGTGACACATGAGGCGTGTGATATAGTCTGTTACATATAAGGAGTGTGATATAGTCTGTGACACATAAGGCATGTGATATAGTCTGTGACATATGAGGCTTGTGATATAGTCTGTGACACATGAGGCGTGTGATATAGTCTGTGACACATGAGGCGTGTGATATACTGACTGTCCACAGTGTATACGTCATGATACACTATAGTGTAAGAATTAGTGTAGGGGATTGGTTGAAATCTCACAATTGATAATGCTTCATTACCAACGAAGAATCATCGAAACAAATTGGTTAGCGTCATTTTTCAGATTTTCCTACCAAGGTTGTTAATATGTTATTGTAGATATGTATAACAAGATGCAACTTGCTACTTTAAAGTGATGAGTAATATATCATGAACATAAACTTCCTGGAGTCTTCAAGAAATATTCAGTCATGACTTTTCAGTTAGTGAAGTGAGTTTTCTAAGAATTAAACAAGTTTTCAGGCCCTGACAACTTCGAAGATATATATCGTCAAGTGTTTCAAACACTAAAACAGCAGTTCCAAAATCGTTTGTGTTCGATTATGAGAAAATGTGATCGATTGCTTGGTCGTTTGGTCACTTCGACCAATCTTCGATTATTTCAATTAATCGGAACACCACTAGTAACAATCAGGACTTAAGACACATAAGGAATAAGATACACAAGAAATGAGATACTCAAATATTAAGACACTATGGGAGTGAGATAAGCACAGCATGCGACACACAAAGTATATGCCATGTAAGGTAGATCATGAAGGACGGCAATGCAAGGGGTTGATGAAGCCTTACCTGTACTTTAGCTCCCTTGTAGCGGATGACCCCTGGCACTGTTGTGAGGGTTGTGAACTCATAAGCTGCCACCTCAGAGTATACACCTGCCAGGTTGCTAAGCAATGTTGACTTGCCCACGGACGGAAATCCTGAAAACAGTTCAAAATATTAATCAATTTTCTTCTGTGGCAGTGTCTCTTAAGTGTATTGATATATATGGCATGAGAAATCTACTAACAAGGCTGATGTGGTTTTAGGTCTTTGTCATGCATCCCTTGGTAATTGCGTGTTTACAGACTGCGTCACTGCAGCAGCGTCAGTGCTTTGTCTGGTCTACACGTACGTACAGACCAGTGTCAACTCACAGGAATACTGCTGGGGATACAACAACAACATACTGATGATCACAAAGAAGGACGTCATTTTCTGATAACATTAATTCAGTTGTAAAGTGGGCATCAAATAAACTGTTACGATCAGACCCGTGAAGATCCGGGGTAGAATAGGTCTTCAGCAACCCATGCTTGCCACAAAAGGCGACTATGCTTGTCATAAGAGGCGACTAACGGGATTGGGTGGTCAGGCTCACTGACTTGGTTGACACGTGTCATCGTATCCCAATTGCGCAGATGGATCCTCATGCTGTTGATCACTGGACTGTCTGGTCCAGACTCGATTATTTACAAACTGCCACCATATAGCTGGAATATTGCTGAGTGCGGCATAAAACTAAACTCACTCACTCACTCACTGTTTCGATCAATTAACCCATAAGTATGCATGTTTCACACATAAAAGTCAACTAAACAGTGAATGAGGTTTCATGCCGATCTGAACAATTCCGAGCCATGGATCACAATACAATAGAACAAGGTTAGACAGATGAACAATCAGAGTACATACCAACAAACCCAATTCTAGCATCTCCTGTTTTGGCAACATCGAACCCTTCACCTGCTGCACCCCCTCCTCCCTTCGGTTCAATAAGTTCTCGACGTAATTTAGCCAAGCGGGCCTTGAGAAGACCGAGATGACCAGAAGTAGCCTTATTCTTCTGGGTGCGAGCCATCTGGGAAGCAGAAAACAGAGTCAAAATGGAGTCAAACACTGTGTCAAGATGAAGGGACCTAAGTAAGTACTTCAGAGTTATCCGTGGGTTGACGTAACTGAAGCAAATATAAATAGAGAAACAGTATGAAGCCACCAAGCTTTTACTTCGAGACAAGCATATGGTCTCACAGATGATAGTTTGACAGTCTAAGTAAACTTAGGCTCAGTAATATTCATTACACTGCTATACTGAATCTAACAAAACCTTGTGGAAGGTCGCGACAGCTGACCTATTCAATGGACCAATCAGAACACAGCTTACCAAATCGCGAAATTGTAATTTGCACATTTTTTTGTACCCGAACGATTCCGAATGCTATTTTCCGTACGATCGCTTCCGAGTGATGCACATGGAGCACGCCACAAAAGTGAGTAAACAGTCGCTGAAAATAGCGTTTTGTCAGTATTCAAGCATGTCCCTCTTGCGGAAATACTAGCTAATGATAGCCATGTCAACAGAAACTCAAAAGCGTATATTCTGCAGGTCATATATCTGAGTTTTATGCGGGTTTTCATTTGTTCTGAGATCACTGCCAAACCCTAAATAGAAGCCGTTGTCTGATTGGTGAAATCCGTTCGGCCATCTCGCGTTTGATTGGACGGTCATAGGTCGCTCAAAGGTTACCTGACGCTACATTCCACTAGGTTTTGTTAGACTCAGTATAGCAGTGTAACGAATAAAACTCAGCCTAAGTTTACTTAGACTGATAGTTCGACACAGTATTCTAAACACGATTTGGTGTTTTTGTGATTATCAATGATTTTGCTGTAGTCAAGAAATTTGTGGTGGTGTTTGGTCACGTCGCAAATTGGTTGAAGTCAAGCAACTTTAGTCACATTGAGTTCTTGGATGGGTGGCCTTTCATAAACTTCTAGGGCCTTGCTGGGAGCTTGGGTTAACCAGGGTAATAATGTCTGCACTTTAGGCCGAATAAGTCCTTAGCGCGCCACTGAATGATTGAGTTTAGTTTACATCACTTTTAGCAATATTCCAGCAGTATCACAGCTTGGGAGACCAGAAATGGGCTTCACACATTGTACCCATATGGGGAATAGAACCCGGGTCTTCTGTGTGATGATCGAAAGCTTTAACCACAAGTCTAGCCCACCACCCCAAGGAGCTCTGAGCATCTTTGAGGTGGATATTAGGGGTTCTCAAAATGTATTATATTAATATGGGCCACTCTCAACACGATCACTGATCCATTCCAGGCTCATGTCAATACTTTACTGAACTCTTAAAATACATTTTTCATCATATAAACATCATCCAGCTTCACAGACTGCTGAAGTAGTAGGAATGACAGTTGTGTGGACACAACACAGAGTGCAGCTATCTGAAGCAGTAATGTAACACATCTGTTATGTTACATCTGTTACTATTCCAGTTCAGACAGAGCTTTGATGTGCATCTGACATAAACATAGACTGAATAACTACAGGCATCATAGCATGTGGTGTATTAATGAGTTATAACTCATGTCAAATGTTTAATAAACTTTTGAATAATATATTTGCATGAAAACGACCATCCCTTTGAAAAGTAAGTCCTATATTTGTGGATAGTTATGATGTGCGAATATGATGGATCTGCGTTGCTGTTGCCATATTTATTCATGGGACCTTCAATCATTGATGTTTTAAGATTGTCAGAAATCTATAGCTGGAGCGCCAGTTTTAGGTAGGAAATTAGAATGACTGTAATAATCGATTTTGAAAGCAGCTGAGTGTTTTCTTCAAGCTGTCAATTTCAGTTTTAGAAGAAACAACCAGAATGTCAGTTGGGATTGAACGATATTTGTTGATGTAATCATATGTAACACAAATAAACAATTTACCTCGGCTTCGATTTCAGCGATTCTTTGTAAAATCGCACTCATTTTATTCTTTTAAAGTGATAAACACTATCTATTTCTGATATATTTCGCTAAAATATCACTCCACGTGATGAATATGGCGAACCGTGACCCGGAAGTTGTAATACTTGTTCCGGAAGTTGAGATAGGTTAGAAGTCATTTGAAATTTTATCGAATAATGAATTATAGGGTTCATGAGCTGCTTGGTATAGTTGTGCACACTAATCAAAGTATAATTACATTGCACAAGTGAACTAAACGTGGCATTAAGGGTCTACACTTATGCAAATACATTTTTTTCCCAATCTTAACGGTTTGCGCATGCGCCAAATCCGGGCTTGTTGAAACATCTGAATGTTGTTCAAAACTGGGAGCTTTCGTTCTATCGTCTTTAAAATGTCTATTTAATCATTCTTTAGCTTTCCAAGTGTTTGTTTGTATAGTATTTCGACTTTTCATGCAATCATTTCTTCATTTGATCTAGTCAAAGTAACTTGTGGCCGGCAGTAATCCCAAACATCAGTAGCAAGACGTGAGGTAGGAAACTCGGTCTAAAATATTTTTGTTTTTGTGCAGTTGATGTCATGAATTAACAAATGTAGCAGCGAGTTATCAAAATTTGCAGCACTAATCATGTTTCTTGTGCTTGATAGTTTCGTGTTATTTATTAAGGTATAGGTTTCAAAGCATGTTACTGAATTGGAATATCTGAGCCTGAAATTAGACAGCGTTTTGATGGTGATTGAGTCAGCAGCATAATTGGTCACTTTTGACGTGTTGTTTTGGTCTGTATAGCTACATGTATAGTTTGCCATAGTAGCGTTTTTACCCGGCGCGATTAATATTTTATGAAACAAGTAGCTTAATTTTGTGAAATGTTGTCGCGAAGTCTTGTTTCACATGGATTTTTTGTACATATTTGCACATTTGCTTCAAGGCCAGAGCTGGTATTGTGTGTGTTTGTCACAAAGAAGGCTATGGCAGATTCATATTAAAAGAAGGTTATTTGAATGATTTTAATAAAATATTAGTTTTAACACAATCATGGTTAAGCTATGAAAGAAATATATATCCAACATGTATGAATCATAAATAAGATGCTATGATCATTGTACATTTCCAGGCTCTCAATAATTATGTTTTCATTTTACCTCTGCTGTTTGGCTCTGCTGAAACAGTAACTAGTAGTAACTTTTCAGTATTTGTATGTCTGCTTCGTCGAGTTGGCATTTTTTTCCGCCAAGATGCAGAACATAACCTGCTTCTTTTGCTTCCTGTGCGTCCCACAAGTTATTTCCAAGTGTTTTATCCAAAATTCATGTGTTCATGACATTGTTATGGGTTGACACTCAGTCAAGGATGCATAATAGAATGTTTATGTTGTGCTACCCAAATATGTTTTAAATGTTATTACCAGGCTACACTTACCAGAATTAGATTAAGAGACTGCTAGACAAGTCATATTTTGTATATGCATGGTACCAGTAGCCTGTGACCACTGATTTGTTTGATTCAATCTGATTTGTTACTGAATATATGAAAAAAGTGGCTCCGTGTTTTTCTTCGCTACTGTCGTGCCATTGTAAATGATACTGGACAGAGCCAGCAGAGATTTACTTTGGAATAATGTATAGTATCCAGTCTTGCTTATGGGCGAGCTCTGTTAAACATAGCTTGGTTAAAAAAAAACTCATTGTTTGCATGATCTTATCAACATTTTGAAGTGATGAAAATTTAGCTCAAAGTCAAGGAGTCATTGTCCTAACATTATGTCATAAGATATAGATTTAGGGGTCTTAGGGTCAAATATTTAAAGACAAGACCTTACTCAAGGATTCTTGAGGACTGAATTCTTAACTTTTAAAAACATTTGATCATGTGTGGAAGTCAAACTATTCAATTTCAAATTAATTAGCATGCCAGTAATACTAATACATGTGAGTATAGGCTGTCAGCAGGCCACTGAGTATAGTGAAAGGAGTCCCGTTGCCATGTCTATTGCAGTCAAGTCCACCCCTTCTGAATAGAGATATAATGCCAATCTGCAGCATGATAAAATGGGATTTAGTGTTTCAATTAATTTGGCTTATTTTACATAGTTATTTAACCGAATATGGTTGCTCGAGAATACTCAGAACCTTGCTATTGATGCAATCTTGGTGATATTTAGACAGAAATTATGAAGTTTTCCCTATGGAGAATAAAATAGAAGAAAACAATTTAAAAAAAAAAACAGTTTTAATTTGTATGCTGTGACTGCTGAATTATGTATCATTTTAATGCTGATAATGATGTGTCATATTATTAAATATTTCTTTTATCATTATCTGGCTCTGTGGAATCAAGTGTGGAATCAAGGACAGAGTTGATCTATTGTAACTGATGTAAATGAGGTCTATTTGTTTACCTTTCATTGCATGTCATGGTTTAGGAAATCAGAGTCTTTTACATGGACAAAACCTTAGTGATACTATAGTGAGAGTGAAACTGAAGTGTTATGCATTTGTTAAATCATGTTAATAGGAGTTGTAATGTTAGAATTTTGTTTCCTTTTCACTTTGTCTACCTATTTTCCTTGGGTGCATGCAGACCATAATGTTCCATAATCAAATCAAAAAGAAAAACATTGTGTTTCTTTGTAAACATTAAGCAGTACACCTGTGAGAAGACTTAGGTATCCTTAAAAAGTTATTTGTGCTGGTTCATATTAATCAGTTGTTGGGTCATTAGCTAGGGCTTCCTATCAATATAGATCCTAGAGATAAATAATCATTACCTAAATATCGTTTGGTTATCCATATAAATAGAATTAACTGAGCACAAATGCCCCAAAAGTGTTGAAAACAATAAACATATTTCACATCACCAGTGAATGGTGATATATTTATGCATGTATTACCATGATTACAAAACAGCACTGTAACATAATTTAGAAGTAGCCCATGAATAAAGGCATCACTTTGTGATTTGTGTGATTAACTTAGAACTGTAAACAGTATTTCATAGCAATAGTTTATGTACATGTACTGTGTTTTGGATGAGACAATTTTCAATTTTCATATTCATGATTGTCAATATTTTTAGCCAGCCCTGTTGTCTGCTGATCGTATGCTGAAATTTGATTATTAATCACATAATTCTTAAATTGCCGTAAGTTTTATCCATTCTATGATAATTCATTCCACAATAAACAAATATGTTATTACAAATAACTACTGATGTCAGTTATCTCCTCATGAGCAGTAAACACCAAAAGAAACTGTTTTGGGGGCTAAGCTTTATTAGCTAAGCTTTTGCTGATTTATAGAGTGTAGGGTTCAGTGTTTCAATGTACAATTCTTGAGGTTACATGTATATCATGGAGATATCCCAGTCTAAGGAAACTTAGGCTCAGTATTATTCGTCAGCTCACTACTATACTGAGTCTTAACAAAACCTAGAAGTTCACGTCAGCTGACCTTTGAGCGACCTATGACCGTCCAGTGACCGTCCAATCAAACGCGAGACGGCCGAACGGATTTAACCAATCAGACGACGACTACCTGTTAGGGTTCGATGGGACTTACAAAACGGTTTTTGGATTTTCTCTTCCCTGGTCGCCAACACTGATCTATCAACAAAGGAAAATCCGCATAAAACACAGATATTTGACCTGCAGTATATACGCTTATGGGTTTCTAATGACATAGTTACTATTTGCTTATATTTTCGTAAGTGGACATCCTTGAATATTGACAAAAACACTATTTTCAGCGACTGTTTATTCATTGCGTGTATCACTCGGAAGCGGTCGTGCGGAAAATAGCATTCGGAATCATTCAAGTTTTTTTTAGGTAACGGTTCAAACGGTATGTGCGAATGTGAACTTTCACGATTTGGTAAGCTGTGTTCTGATTGTTAAGTCCAAAAGGTTAGCTGATGCGACCTTCCACTTGGTTTTGTTAGTCTCAGTATAGCGTGTAACGAATAATACTGAGTCTAAGTTTACTTAGACTGGGAGATATCTGGTGGTGTAACGATTCATCGATAGTATCGATGTTTGCATCGTCAACTACGCGATACGAGTGCATCGATACAAAACACGTTTAGGCAATATATCAGGATATTTATATCGCGAGGGTCCATGATACATCGATCTATCGCCACAAGAGACGATATATCCCGATACTACTTAAATATTACTTAAAGTTGTAGGGAGTATTGCATAAGTAATAGAAAGGGAGTCTCTTTTCTGAATTTTTAAAAACAAACTGAACCTAAAAGGAATTTGTTTGTGTCTGCCATCTTTGTTACATGATCAAAGGAGTTAGTGTATCAGTGAAAGCATGTGAACAATCTCTGTGAACTGTAAAGACTTGTCTTTAAGTAATTGAAACATGTTTTAGTTGTTTGACAAATAACACCATTTATTAACAACTATGAACGATGTCTTAGCTTTGTTAAGAAAGAGAAGCTAAAATTTAGAAAGCATACTTACGAGTTTTTTGCAGTGATTCTGGTATAAATTACTGTATAAATTGTCTGTGAAAGCATTGGTGCAGAAACACAACCTTCCAAGGGAAACCTAGATCAAGGTATACTGAATATGTTTGATTGTACTTTCTTAAGCATTAAATGCTGAAACTTTATTACATGAACAGCCTTTTAAGTGTGTGTGAATGTAACACCTGTTCTGCTGTATAACAAATAAAGATTCAGTCATTTTATCTATCATATATGTCCTGTTTTAAGGATTGTAAAGTATCGGGATAAGTATCGTATCGCCATCACTGTATTGTGATGATAATCGTCTCGCAGGTTCCTTGCCAATACTTTCATGATATATCGTCTCGCCTCATTAAACTAGTATCGGGATATATCGTCTCGCCACTTAGGCCTCGATACACAGCTCTAGAGATATCCCATTTTTAGTCTTTTCATTGTGACTGCAAAAGTTTCAGAAGCTCATAGCAGGCCTTGTTTAAATAATATGAAGTAACTCTTTATATGTGCCTAACTATCCAATCTCATTTTGATCATTGCTGTTATCAGAAACATTACATTTTGTGGGGAGTCTTTGATGTGCAGAAAATAGGATCTGCTTGTACTATGAGTGTCACTCATCATCAAACACTTAAGCTCCAAATATATGGCAATATGGGTACTGGGGCCTGATCCACAGAGCGTTGTAGCACAACAGTATTCATAAACCCATGATGAAGTTTATAGTTCATATGGCTGCTAAGGTTACCAGTGATTTGTGGATTGGGACCCTTGCTCGCCAGGTATTGCGATACATTTTATTTTTCTATAACTAGACTGAAAGCAATTAAAAATGCAATTGGTATTTGTTGTCCTGGAACTTACAAAAGTTCTTTTGAAGATTTTTTTTTCCTGCGATACAGAGGATGTAGGGATGAAAGGCTGTTATTCTGGCCCATTTCGAGTTCTAGTTCCCCGAGCATTCCTGTCACATAAACTTTGATGCTTAAAACTGAACCTTTGACAGTTCTTGTAAACACAACCACATTCATGAAACACGTGCACGTGCATTACCTGCAGCCAGGCCCTTTTAAGGCAGAAGGAATTGTGAAACTCAATCACTTTGAAAAAATGCCATGCTTCACACAAGAGGAAAAGAATCAGGGTATCGGTATGGTCAGCCAAGGTGTTTCAGATGTGATGATTGCCGGGCACTTGAATGTGTGTCCTTCCATTGTTGGTCGAGTCAGACAACGTTTTCGGGCCACCAGAAGTGTTGCTGATCGTCTGCGACCAGGTGCACCACCTGTGACGACAGCTAAACATGACCTCAATATCCGAGTTTATGAAATCGGTTCCAAACAGCTGCTGATGCGGCAAGGAGGACAATTGGGACAAGACGTCATGTCAGCGCCCAAACAGTGCGAAGACGCCTTGCTGCTTTCAACAGCCGGTGTCGTCGCCAGTACCGTGGTCCAACCTTATTGCATTGCCACCGACTTGCCAGACAGCGATGTGCATCTAATGGGGCCAAACCATGGCGAGATGTCAATATTTTTGTTGAGATGAATACATGGTTAACATATCCTTTGGAGATGGACGTCAACAGATTTATCAATGTCGAGGAGAAAGACTTGAGCCAAAGTGTGTCCTTGAACATGATCGTTTTAAAGGAGGTGGTGTCATGATCTGGTGTGCTATCAGTGCCATCTTCCTGATGGTGGTGGTTAATGGCGATCTGAATGCTCAACGTTATGTGGACAATATTCTTCGTCTGGTTGTACTCAGTGATGGATCAACATGGCGGTCAACCATTTTGTGTTTCAGCATGACAATGCACGTCCCTATGCAGCCAGGGTAACAAAGGATGTTTTAAAAGATGAGAATGTTCGTGTTATGGACTGACCTTCATTGTTCCCAGACATGAACCCAATCTAGCATCTGTGGGACGAACTTGGACGGCGAGTTCGAAATCAACTTGTGCCACCATGGACAGTTGCTGAATTGACACAGGCCCTTCAACATCACTGGCAGACCATCCCACAGCTGTTCCTGAGAAATTTGTGTCTTTCAATGCCCCGGAGACTGTGAGCATGTCTTGCAGTGCACGGTGGACAAACGGTATTGACTGCAAGTGACCCCTCCTTTGTTTGATGTCGTTGTTGCGCCACTGATGTTGTTGAGTGGACATTTTCAGGTGAAATTATCCACAGATGTTCGCTTAAAACATATCTGCCAGGAACATATATGTTCACATTTGTGTGAGTAAAGAAAGTTTTAATGGCTTTCAGTATAGTTCTAGGACTGGTACAATTTAGACACAGTGCAAAATAAACACATGGAAATACATATGTACAACGTGATTGGGATTTTTTTTTTCTTTTTTCTTTAAACATTTACTTTTGTTGAAATTTACATCACATATAAGACTTCAATTCCCAGGACTTGGAAACTATTCACCACTATTAGCACTATGATGCCTATATTTGGTTAAGTTTTTGAAGACGTTTATATGTGATGAAAGACTGCATTCAAACTCCACTTTGAATTTAGTTATTATATATTAAGATTTATACGACTGGTAAAAGGACCCTGAATGCTGACTAAGCTTTGAAAGGTCTTGGATTCAGACAAAATGCATTCAAAAGCTGGAATTTGTCAAAAGGTTTATCTGAAGGCAGGTGCCCAGCAAGTTGCTCAGTTCACAAGTTATGACTTGCAGTGACCGGCTAATTTATACTTGCTCTTATAGTATAATGCAGTTAATGTAGCTTTTCTTTCACGATTGGTAGTATTAAAATGTAGTTACAAGTATATTGCAGGCAGAGGATTTGCAAAACTTTATAAATATTACATTTTGAAAATAGATCTTGAATAAAAAATATGAAATATATTACCTATGATGGCGCTAATATCGGGGTTCATATTTTTCATACGACTTTCACTTTTTTCACACAAAATATCACTTTGTCAGGGTGATGTGACGCCATGAACAATGCTATGATGCCATGTTTCTTCTATGATGTTACGTTCTACATGAGGCGATGTGTTTGAAAGTAGATTTGGATTTATTTTCCTCAATTTGACGACTTCAGTAATAAACAGAATATTATATTCGTACCCATTTCATACTATGTTTACGACACTCATGCCTAAATATCAGCATATCCCTCGCTATCGCTCGGGAAATACCAACATTTAGACACTTGTGTCATAAACATAGTATGACATGGGCACTAATATAATATCCTCTATGAAACATAGGTAGAAATGTGTATCATATCGACGGGTACAAGTTTGTGATTCATATTTTCAACACCTGTGTGGAATGATAGTTTTTTAGTTAAAGATGTTTGAAATTGTATATTTTCAGTATGGATAAAGGCAAGCCTCGGCCTGGCAGTGGTGACGAGGATGATGGAATGGAGCAGGCACCTGTCAGGGCCGATACCCCTGGACCGCTGCCTCAATTTCAGTATTCACGGGTAAGCAGAATTCTCAACTTATAACAGGAATATTTCATATTTTTACAAATCATCCATGTTTTGGTAAGAAAGGGATCTATCATCATGGGTTCGGTTTTCAGATTCACCAAAATTATTAGCCTGGGTTTGTTGGTATCATGCCCATTGTTCTTGCTTTTACCATCAAGCAAGGACATTTCTGTGTACTGTCACTTGGGGCAGTTAACATACATTAAACATGCATGCATGCTTTAGATGACGTGCCATAGTACAATGTCAATTCTGTTTGAATGGGAGTTTCAAACCTGACTCATTGACACAATAAACTCGCAGTATCTTCCAATTTACACTTGTGCATAAATTTGCGTGCCTGCGTAGAAGAGAGAAGAATAAATATCCTGTTTTAAAACCTTCACAGTGATAAAATGAATCCTGGTGATCATTTCTTCAATGCCTATTAGAATGAATGGAGAACTTTCAGCGCACATGGATTTCACAGTCATCTTATCTTATGCTATGCTTAGGTTGTCTATGAGTTGAAATGTCGGGTGACAGCACAAGTTGTTGTTGTTGACACTTCCAGCAGTGACCACCAGGGCAGACCAACTGTCAGCTGGACCCTGTTTTAATGTGTTATCAACTCAAAGTGTTATTACTCCATCATATGTCTGATGGGGATTACAGTTAGTGCTCGAACAATTGATCAATCTCACTTGTGTCAGTGATTATAGATGAGCTCAGGAGTCAATCAATATTCATAAAAAATATAACTTCAAATTATACTTCAGAAACTATTTTCTTATTATGTTGTTAAAAGACTTGTACAACTGCATTGTAAACAACATACTTGCATGCGTGTCTCCACTGGAAGTGTTCTCAATTGTCTTGATTGTGGTATTACCGTTGCCTATTTTGTTCTGCATAATGTTATGATTGTGTACCGTTCTTGCCCACATGGGTTTTTGTGTAGGGGTGACACGGTATACCATGGTATTTGTAAAACCACAGTATTTTGCCTTCGGGTCAGTATCCATAAGCAATTCAAAAATTCTGTATTTTCGGTTTTCATCTAGTCATAAAATGTACATTCAAAATAATAAAGATTATGGTTATTATTTTTCCATGTTATTAAACAATGTAAGGTCTTGCTCTTGTCAATTTTCTGCATTATGATCATATCTTATATACCGAACCAAATGGACCGAACCGAACCGAACCGAAGGCCTTGTATCACAACCTACCATACTGCGATAAGAGCATACTGCTTCACCCCTACTTTTGTGGTGTTGTTTACAATGGATTACTGTGCTCTGATTATTGATCTGCATATTGTGAGCAATAACCAGCACCAGATAAAGTAGAGTAAATTAATTGTGCCCCAGAGGGTATGTAATCATTATGATATTATACAGTATATTTAGGTATACGTTTATGGGTCATTTTCAAAATTGGTAGGATTTTCAATTCTTTATTACAGTAAAATCAAACTCCTGAAAATTGATTTAATTTTTATTCAGATAAAATCTCAAACACTTAATTATTCAAAAATACAAACATGCAGGCTCAAATTTACTAATTGGCCTTTTAATTGATACATAAGTAATTAATAGGGTGAGGGAAAGTCCTGAACGATACCATTTCTTAATCAGAATAAGGATTTTGAAATATAATTCGTAAAAATCTTTTAAAGATGGCAAACACAGCTTTTACACTGACTTGGTCAAACTTGAAAAGTGTTCACGAATAGTGTCTGACAAATCTGGCAGATTCTGATACAGTCCATTCGAAGTCTACAACCCGCCGGCCCCAGTGTCTGACTGTTTGTTTCACAGTGACTTTGACTGAAGTTATGTCACATGTCACATGTGACATTTGTTTGCTGTTTATAAATCTTAATGTTTGTTAGTATTTTTAAATGCCAATTATAAGAAATGTCAAATCTGAAATGTGTGTTTAATTTCATTCTATGGGTCCTGTGAATTTTCAATGGGTCAGACAGTCAGAAAATTCCAGGACCCAAAAGTCCTGTTACTTGAAACACCATTCGTGAACACTGCTTGAAGGTAAAAACTATCATGAATCTTGAAAGTGTTATTTTGTATTTTTCATTTATTTACCACAAAATAATAGCATTTTTCTAAAACATTATTTTGTATATAGATTTCAACAGGTAAAATTGTCTAAAATAAACATCAGCTACTAAGCCCAGAACATCTTTTGATGACACAGGGGTGGAAATAACCCATTGCCCGACACCCGAGTCCAGTGTTTTTTTCTGTTGGGCAAGTAAATTTGTATATCACACTGTACCGGTGTCCAGTTGACTTTCCAATATTAATTATGTTGTTTATTTAAAAAATCAACAATAAAACGGCCGGTATAGTGGAAAAATTATCAGGGCAAGTGATTTTACATGTGCCACTGTACCGGAGTACACTAGCAATTTTAAAGTTATTTCCACCCCTGTGACACCAGAGGAGTGTTTCATGTATTATTATCATGAATTAATTAGAGCAGTCAATTAACACCAGTAACGGTTAGGACAATAGTGGTAACGGGCTGGACATAAACCGTAAGCAATTTAATTCAACATAGAAACAGGTAACACGAAAGGAAAAAATGATATCATTTACTTCAACTAACCATATTTTGGACAGACAGTGAAATGTGTATTAGAAATTGTAACTTGTAACAAATATGACATGTTTTCTTCCGTGCTGTGGTAACGGTTTGGACATTTGTTATATTGATATGAAACTTGTGAATGAATTTAGGCTTTTGAATAAAAACAAACTGTAGCTTCTTAAGAATAGAAAAACACACCTGTCTAGATTGAAAATCACTTATAATCTAAAGAAGAGTGCAGTTGGGGAACGAAAATTGAATGAATAGTAACGATTGTGACATTATTGGTAACGGTCAGGACATCAGTGTAACAAACAAATGTTATCCCTCTAAAAGGTTGCAAAAGCTTAAATTCTGAAAGGTACTGCAACAACTATGATACTGTACACATGGTCATGCTACACAGGCCACTGCATAGATATCATTTTGCTGTTGATATTATGGTTCAGTATTAGTCTCCACGAAATATACTTCTTTCATTCACTCGGATACCTTTAGTTTTTGTTAATAGTGAGATGGTAACACATATTTATCGAACACAAAGGTTTGGCCAACATATTAGCACCTAGCAATATTCAAAGTAAATGGTAGCCTTACATATCTCAGTTAAAGTTAAAGTTTACACCCAAAAGATCTTTACAGGTTGGGATACAATCAAGTTGTTCACCGTTACTACATTTTGTCCAAACTGTTACCATAGATTTCCTAACCGTTACCTTTAATTCATAAAGACTCTAGATCTTATAGAAGATAGAAACGTACCGTGATAGATTTGTTTTGGTTTTTATTTTTTAAAGCAGATAGATAAGTAAATAGAAATTTATTATAACACCATAGAACATATTCTTCAAAACTGAAATTTATTAAAGATATGTCCAGACTGTTACTATTATTTGTCCAACCGTTACTAGAGACTGTGTTTTTTATGCTACTACATCAAAACTCCTTTGAACAGTAAAATTCCATGCTTGAACTATCTTAACTCTTAAAGTAATTATAATTTTGTTATACTTCAAATATTAATGAACAACTTTTTGAAATACAAATCACTTTGTCCTGACCGTTACAAGGACTGTCCAAATCGTTACTTTGCAGAATGGTAACGGTTTGGACAGTAACGGTCAAGACAATTTGTAAGTAAATCCAAAATAAAAAAATGAATGATCCCTTAAAGATTTCAAAGGACATGCCTTCCACCTCTTCCATTTCTGGGCAACATATCCATTGAAATTTAAAAAAGTGAGAGATATATTTGACACAAAATACATTGGTAACTGTCTGGACAATTAAGGTTGACACATAACATTTATACTTATTTGATGGTGTCAATTTTCTGCGAAATGTGTTGAATCTCGTTATTTCATCTGCTGTCATGCACAGGGGCTAGCTCAAGCGGACACAGGAAGTAGAATTACAGTCCTGAAACTGTCCAGCTCCAGGGGAAATTATTGCAGGAATTTCATACACTGGTAACGGTCAAGACACAAAATCTCAGGACAAGCAGGACTCCAGATAAATTTTCAACATCAGGAGTACATACTCCTTACTTTGTCAATGCAGGATTACCAGAAAACCTTAAGAGTACATTCAGAGTATTTAATGGAATTTAATGGAGTATCAGTAATCTTGCGTTTCGTTTCATATATGCACAACCAAATTGCTGCTCTTGTGTATACAGGTCAATAAACAATAAAACAATACTTTTTCAGATAAATACGTCTGTAAATGATTCTAAGACCGTACACCATTGCTGTAGTGCATATCTGCTATTATTTCCGACCGTATCGTGCACATTTTATATCCGTACATACGCTGATATGGCCCTTATCTGGAGCCCTGGACAAAAATGTTACAATTTGTAGAATAAAACTTTTTTAAGTTAAAAACAAATTAAATGCAGTTTGAGTATGCCTGATCAATCCTAATTGGCATAATATGAATTATTTTGTTTATTTGCATTTATATTTACATTACTGTAATCGTAGTTATTTTCGCGTGGGATTAATTTTCGCGCTTTTAGCGCAAAAAGATTGTGCGTCAATAATCATACCAAGCGAAATATTCATGGTGAAGTCATGACAAATACTCAAGTAGGAACAACATGCAATTTGTTTATTCTCTCAGATAACAACATCAAAGCAATTATTCCTGGTCCATGTTTACAAATTACGTGATCAAACAATGTCAAGAAGTCCTCAGATGTTCGCCTACCGGTAATTCCTCAACACAATGTACTTATTTCACAGCAATCACTTACATACTGCATCTACTCATGTCTCGAAATGAAGTGTAGTTGACAGTAAATGGATACGCATACATATTTTGTTTGCCAAAAGTCATAATTATTGTAGCTGGACGGTCACATGTTGACAACAAACGACTTTCGTAGTGGAAATAGCGAGATCGTGCGAAACCTCATCGGTGACAGTTTAAATTGTTCCATGCATAAAAACTATCCGGCCATACACCAAAAAGCTGTCGCGTAACCTTAGTTATGATTATAAATATTTTACATTTATAGAGCACAACCTGCAATGAAAATGACACAAAACTAGAATATATTTATCTTTAAAAAACAATAGTTTGAGATACTATCTTTTTAAGATCACTGCATCAGAATTCGCGGAGCACCTTTAGAATACAGCACCACAACTTCTCGTGAGGACGATCTCTGCCGTAGGTCACATGTCATTAAGACAAGCAACCAGTTTGTGAGAACCCGTCGGACTCGAACCCGCGACCTTCGGATTGTTAGCTCGACAGCTAACCGACTGAGCTACGTCCACACTGTTGCACAATGTGCAAATTTATCGAGTCATTCCTGTGACGTCACGGAAATGAACGGAAAGAGTCGAATAGGTCACGGACAATTACGAATGCTACGGGTAGACTTGGTGTCTCGTGATTTTATTCTCCGGACAATTGCCGAATGGATCCGATGCCATTTGGCACACTCGTCCCATTCCGTAATCTACAAATTAGCGTGTGGCGTGGAATGAGCCGATATGCCTCAAACTGAAAAGGGTTGTTGACGTCAGACGTCAGAAGTAGATTTCACGGTGCATGCATGAATGACGCGCATGTATATAAATCGGTGATTTTGTGACAGAAAAGTGATGTAGGGAACAATGTAAGGATAATGTGGATCGCACTAAGGAACGAGGGAGACATGAGCATGTGTAGTGACGGCACGAGGGTGAGTTAGCCTTCGAATCATTACTTTACAAAATTTATGTTGTGTGTGAAAGAGGCTTGAGTGCAAATTCCAGGCCAATTTCCATTAGCCAAAAATTTCAACATTAACCCATTTCATAATGTACTTTCGACGTTTTTGGTTTCCCGTTTTTGTGTGAAAAATAAGTATTAAAATGCAAAAAGGAAAAACAACAATGGTACTCACGTATTACACCGGACATGTACCTGCTATATTGGATTAGGTCCCTAACCCTAACCCTAACCCCTTTTCCCTAAACCCTCAGCCCTCCGCCCTAACCCTAACCCCTTGAAATATTCCTAATAAATAGAATGCATTGACCGAACCACCGGACATGTACCTACTATATTGCATTAGGTCCCAAACCCCAACCCTAGCCCTAAGCCCTAGCTCTAGCCCTAGCCCTAGCCCTAACCTAACCCCAACCTAACCCCAGTCCCTTGAATTAATCCTAATAAATAGAATGCATTGACCGAACCGGCACAAACACGACTGACGTGTCTAGTGTAATGCATTATTACCGCTTCGAAAAATAAAATACTAATAAAACACTTTTCTATGTAATGGTGCAAATTACTGAATGACAAAAATATATATGTAAATTATAAAAATTACAAAATACAAAATACACTAAACATAACACCTCAGCAGCCCGTAATACAAATAAATATGAGCGTATTAGTGAAAAAAGAAAATATTTCAAACTGGTGCTTGCAAAATATTGAGCATCCGCCGGTATACAACTACTGGAAACTCTCAACATCGTTGGGCTTATGCAATGACATAGCTCGTAGAGATGAAACACCAGTGAGCGGAGCTTATACGCACTCGCTGAGCCAGACAACCGTGTTGCCATGCAGGCGTCATAGGGCATTGTATCGAGAACGTGCTTTCGAACAAAATGACATTACATTACGTAAAAGGGTATTATGACGTATTTTTAAAGTTTGTGGTGCTGTATTCTAAAGGTAGGCCCAGAATTCATCTCGGAATATTATCGGGTACGTTTTAACTAAATCACCGGTAGGGGAACGTGTGCACTGCACAGCTGACTGCAATTTCTGGCGCTGTATACAAGACAGTTACACACAGTAATCTTAATACCTGCATATAAGACAATGCCAAACAAAAAACAAACTAGAACTGAATAGGTAAATAATCTTTTCTAGCGATGTTTTATTGCAAATTTGACGTCTTTGGTCTTCTCTTGTATGTTCTTTCACGCGAAGCTATGTCAGCCATAAATCACAATGTTGACACAAGTATAATCCCGCCTCTCTCTGATTGTTTTAGTAAACACGATTCAATTATGGCGGCTAGCTTTGATCATTGCATGTCTATCGGCTGTGAAAACGTTGTGATGGATACCATCACTCAGGTGTTTGAAATGCGCGAAAAAACAACTGCGCGAACAGGCCTTTTGTGAACTTTCCGCGAAAATTGCACCCCTTGAAAATATATATGATTACAGTATTTGTGAACATTGATATTAGGAACGTCACCTCCGGACAGAGCAAATCTGCCAATTTTGACCCTAAAATGTGGCTAAACATAAATTTCAAAATGTCAAGACTAATGATATACCACATTTACTTACTAGTAAACATCTAAATATGTTTTCTAGCACAAAAAAAATCCTTTTAAGTTAACAGAGGTTTTTTTATTTGGAATGGACAGAAAATACTAACAATTTTGAAAATGACCCTTATGATAAATCTAGTTATTTATTGTCCTTTGTAGAGTTGTTTAATAGCATAAATTTGTTGTTGTGCATAACCTTTGAAATCATTGTTCTTGTGTATCATGCAATTTTTACCCTTAACATGCTTATTGTACAGGCAAGCAAGTTTTGGTATTTTCTAAGCATGAAACAATAGCTGTCTAGTGTGTAACCTGAAAGAGCCAGATTACACCTTGCCTTCAAGACATGTCCCTCATCACTGATCACAGTATAAAACACTGGATCGTCAGTCACAACTTATTTAGTTAGTTTAGCCATCATATGTCTTAAAGCAACATTTACCAAGTTTTCACTTAATATTCCAGTCTGAAGTTCTGTTGTGAATACTTATATATTTACTGTTTTACTCATAAAGTCATATAGTTTGACCAATTTTATTTGCTTTATTTTTAAATGTTATAAGGGGAAAGTTCACATGATATTGACTGAGAATGGCAACAATATTTGTTTCTAGATAACTTAAAATTTTAATGTTATTTAGTCAAATTTGTATTTTGTTCAGCTGTTGCTATATGTCTAGTCATATTGTCTCTGGACATGAATCCGGGGACATTGTACCAGTAACAATCCGATATTTTTGAAGACATATGCCAAATATTAATTTTCATGGTTTAACAAAATGCTCACAATTTATTTTTATTCTCTATGGATACAGCATTTCAAACAATGACTTGTCATTTATCATCACGTTTGTAGGACACATGACGTCCAACTAGAGCTTAATTAGTATTTGCCTTTGTCCTTTCTAAAGAAATTCAATTGTCAGTGATTTAGTTAAGAAAATCTGAAGTCTAATTACATAGAAAGAAGTGTATGAGATGCTATCTTAACTGCTATCAAATTGGTTTTAAGTATACAGACTTTTTGAAAAGCTAATGATATCCTGTCAAAATTATCTCCCTTGGTTTGTAGAGGTGCTTATCAGTAAATTTGCCCAAGATCTTGAACTCATTTGTGAAAAATGTATTGGGGCTGGCTAAAAAGAGCGATAATCAGACATTTATAATGTATTATTAACAATTATTGAAATTTGTCATCAATAGTGCTTTGCATCAACTCTTGTGATGAAATTAGGTTTCATTTCGCCTGTGTCACACAATACACAAAATTATCTTGTTTTCATGTTCAGTCACCATTCATCAGTGGACTTTGTGGATATTTGGATTATTTTCTTCTCAAATATGTTTTGATAATCAATGTTCGGTTAATGACCAGCAATCTCAATGATCTGTGCTGATTGCCAGACAATTAACGTTTGATATTTTTCTACAGGAGAAGTTAATGGATTTGGCCGAAACTTTCGGAGCCAGACTGAGACCAAAGTGCTTACTGAAGACATTTGACAAGTAAGTCTGATATGTTTTTGAGGCATAAAATGGTCCACCCACTCACACAAAGATTGTATGAAGGTTGTGCAGTTGCAAAATTAATAGCTCTGTTATTCCATTAAAGGTTAAAGTTAATCCAGATTGAGTGTAGTATTTTCTAAGCAGATAAAGTGAACTTATTCCTTTTAAAGTGTTGCATTTTTATAGTATCTCAGAATAAATGCTCTGCTTTTCAAGTTATTTGGCTTGTTATTTGCAAATATTGGATCATGTCACTTATAATTTCAGTGCTGATGGCTTGTGGGACCCTGAAAAGTGGTCTCGCTCTTTTGGTGGTTATTCAACAGGGTCCAGGGAGAATTCACCCCTGACTATAGACCCTAGGGACAGGAAGAAACAAATTGATTTGGACAGAGAACAGCTTATGAGAAGGAGACCCTCAGGTTGGTCAATGTTGCTTAAACTTTGAAAGGGTTTTAGTTCATGGTATAACAACAATATGGATCTGTGTAAACAATATCAATTTGTTTCAGATTAGCTTTTCGTTACACACTTCATTATTAGAACCTTGTTAATCGCCCCATTGACATATATGTTATTTGTAGGTTGGTGAAACCAGAGAAGTTTCGTTCCATATGTTTAGAAGAGTCCAAAATTTTGTTACGGTTAAATAATTGCCTTGACAAAAGGTTTAAGAGTCTCCTTTGAACCATCAAAATATAACACAGACAAGTCTAAAATATTCAATAATATATTGAGCAAAACTGAGCAAGCTACAATGAATAACAATACAGATATTTAGTACAATGCAATTGAGTCACAAATCTACAGTAATGGGCCACAAATATACTGAACAGCAAAAGAAACGCAAGTCTGGCTTTTTGTCAATTTTTTTAATAGAAGACAACCAAAATCATGTCTAATCATTTTTTCTATAGAAAACACTGTCAATTTAACAGTTGAAAGTTGCTGTTGACATTGAATTGCAATAAGTTCAAATTGATCACAGTCCGTCAAATGGAGATACCCCTGAACGCTAAAAGTGACAGTCTCTTTAGTAGCGCGTATAGCCACCTTGAGCTTGCACACAGGCCGTGCAACGTGGCCTCATTGAGTTCACTAGAGTCTGAAAGACTGCCTGATGCAACTGGTTCCACTCAAACACCAATCTCTATTCCAATTGTGCAAGTGTGAGTGGCTGTCTACCTGCCCCAATCCTCCGTCCAATTTCATCCGAGAATGTTCTAAGGGAGCCATATCGGGGAAAGAGACGGCCATGGAAAAATGTTAACGTTGTTCTGAGCCAGATGATCCATCAACACCCTTGCTGTGTGAGGGCTGCTGGCGTTGTTGACATGTCAAACCTGGCCCCACATACGGACGTCGGCAGTGGATTCCAGCAGCCCGAAGACGACGCCTAATTGTATCGCTGGACACTGCTCCACTTGACCCAAGAACTAAGGCTGCTGTTACTGTTTCTGCTTGAGTTCGGTTCTTTAGATGAGTGACCCGGATGAACCGATCTTGCGTATGAGTTGTCACTCTTTGCTTTCCGGTACGGGGACAATCAGCAGCAAACCCGGTTTGCTGATGACGTTGAGCAAGTCATGTGATGTGGTAAGATGACAGCCCAATTGCCTAGCTACAGCGGTTGCAGAGCTACCTCCGTGCAACTTTCCAATGGCCACTCCCCTCTGCTCGTCGTTTGTCTAGGCATTGTTTGTGTGGCGTGTACACCTCCTATAGTTTGGCATGAAATGCATGTGGACCCGTTTTTTTGTAAATATCTCTTCATCCAATGACCCAATCGATCTCAAACTGTGCAAGTGGATGTTTTGTCAGACAACCTAATCACTTTGTAAATCACCGATTTTATGCATTTGTATTAAAGAATCTGTCCATGTAACTGTCAACTAAATAAACAGCAGACCGCAGACTGCTTGCAGAGGGAGGGAGCCAATGACCTGTAACAGCGGCAGTGTTGGGTCATAAAGGTCAATGCACGTGCAGTTCATGATAGTTACCTGTGCACTGCACAGTGATAGACCGTTTGGATCATTCACATTGACTACTTCTAGCTGTCATCATGAAAGCTTATTCAGATGATGCTAAACGTTTAATTAGAAATGTGTTGAATTTTTTTTTTAAAAAAAGCAAACGTAGCAAACCGATTTATAAGGTGTCGGATTACATGAAATGTACATAGCTGACCTACATTGACGAACGTTGACCTTTATGACCCAACACTGCCGCTGTTACAGGTCATTGGCTCCCTCCTTCTGCAAGCAGTCTGCGGTCTGCTGTTTATTTAGTTGACAGTTATATGAAAAGTCCCGTGTTAGTCCGCCGTGTTTGTCTTTATATATACTGACACAGAGTCAAGAACATTCTTTATCCTCTGAGAACTTTATGGAAATCTGGAACGTACGACCGGTCAAAACAGAAATAAAGCTAAGGGAGGCAACTCTGGAGCGCTATCATAAAGGCATACCACTAAAATAGTATTGCCATTGAAGATATATGATGAGAGCCGCAACCCACGCTCAAAACTTTAAACATTGTGATCTATAATAACTATCTCTTAATCAATGATAATGCAAATTACAAAAACACACTCTCGCAACACTTTCTCCATGTTCTCCAAAGAAAATAACTGGGGTATTTTTATTCCTACAATGCGTTTTGCAGGGGGTATTAAAATGGACTCCGTCCTGTGCACATTCGTCTTTTCTGGAGCAGAACATAAAAAACTTTCAAATTTTCATCATATAAGCGAAATATTCTCAAGCATGACGTTAAACCCAATTTCACCTCACCTCACCTCACCTCACCCACATAACAGCCCAATGCTGTATGCTCCACTCAGCGCATCTCTCTGCTCTGTAGAGGGAGCTGGTGGAAAGGGGAAAGAGTGCCAGTGATCTTTCATTGGTGCCTCTGGCGTGGCAGCTGACGGAGGTCCACTCTCATCTGGCTAGGGACAGCATTTGTAGCTGTGCCAGCCACATGAGTGCGGTTATCTGCCTACGGCACCTGTGGCTGTTTCGAGGAAAACGGATGTCTGTCGAGCTTCTCGTTAATCCCTCAGGTGCCCCTGCAACGGCAAATGACATGTTGCCGACTGCTGGGATTTACTGTATTCGGCCGAGAGTCCCACAGTGCGGCACACACCAGTGTTGGCTTCCGGAAGAAGGCGGAAATCCTCCAACTAATGTGTCGAGATCCAATCTCTGCTGGGCAAGGCAGCCATGTCACTTGCTTGACAACGACATTAGAATCTATGTCGAAACGTCGCCTCCACAGAATAAAAGAAGTTGTATATCCATAATAATTGTTATTATAATCATTATTCTTCATCAACTCAACTTCTAAAATGCCCATCAAAGAAGTTTGACTTCGACTGAAATTGGTGTTGATATTCGTTTCCAGAGCAGAACTTGAAAAGCCGTACAATATTTCTTCACCAAACTTCGCACATAGATAGGTCTGGTGTCGAACTGTCTATTTGATCAGTTTTGGATTTCTGAATGAAATATTTATTTGCATTTTCATGGCAACAAGTTTGACATTTGACTGAATTTGCTGATAGTGCTCCACTCTGGAGCAGAATTTTAAAACCTTTCAATACTCTCCTTCCACTTGGCTATATACACACGAAAACATTTGAATAATAATCATAACAAGTTGACATTCGTAAAAAGTATTTTGCCATAGCGGGGGATATTGATGACTTTGTCTTCTTGTGTAAGTTGAATTAATGGTGTTCATGATGCATTGTGAAGTTCACTGCATTCACTGAGGTGCAGAATATTTTGTACATGCTTTCTACTTTGAAATAGTAATAAACTCAATCTCTTCTGAAAGATATTTGGTTTATTCTGACCAAACATTTAAGTTTTAGCCTGTTGGATGCATTTCAGCATAAGGCACTGTAAAGAGGGTTGTTGATTTCAAAACAGTTGGGGTGTCATTACATAAGCCCAACTGAACCAATATTTTGACACTTTGACAGTTGATAGTAAAATAACACATTATTATCCAAAAATATCTTTAATTTATTAAATATATGGAGGATTAGTCCAAAGCAGACAAAAATAGTGTAAATTTCTTAAATTTACCTGAATTGTTTGACTGTGAGATGTCTTCTTATAGTAGGAACCTGTATAAATTGTTAAATTTGTCCTCATCCTTTTCAATAATCATATCTCCAATGGATATATATATATCACCTTGGCTAAGAGGCTGTCGAGTGACGAAGCTACCTGTCATCTTGACACTCCGAGGTCTATCTGAGTGCTTGGGGAACCCTGATTTATCAGGCTACTCCAACGTGCCACGAGTTCCACCTCCCAGGGGAAAGCATTTGCTTCCAGCAAGGCGTCCGGGACACGGCGTCATATTCTATCGTCAGTCTGCCGTCCTTCCCACTTAACAGCGCTGTATGCTCCACTCAGCGCATCTCTCTGCTCTGTAGAGGGAGCTGGTGGAAAGGGGAAAGAGTGCCCGGTGATCCTTCATTGGTGCCTCTGGCATGGCAGCTGACGGAGGTGCACTCTCATCTGGCTAGGGACAGCATTTGTAGCTGTGCCAGCCACATGAGTGTGGTTATCTGCCTACGGCACCTGTGGCTGTTTCGAGGAAAACGGAAGTCTGTCGAGCTTCTCGTTAATCCCTCAGGTGCCCCTGCAACAGCAAATGACATGTTGCCGACTGCTGGGAGTTACTGTATTCGGCCGAGAGTCCCTGTTGCAGTGCGGCACACACCAGTGTTGGCTTCCGGGAGAAGGCGGAGGGTTCGACTCCTTATTTCCTCGTTACCATAAAGAACGGAATGTTGAGACCCATTCTCAATCTGAAGGCTGAACAAGTTAAAAGAGGTACTGTCCTTCAAGATGGAGACACTGCGATCAGTGATTTCATCTGTCGATGCAGGTCGCATACCTCCTTGTTCCAATGCACCCCGATTTCAAGAATTACCTTCTACTTGACTTGCTACCAATTTTGAGTGTTCCCGTTAGGCATCCCTATGCCGTCAAGGGTCTTCACCAAATTGAGATTGATTCCAGCTCAGATAGCCAGATCGCAGTGCCGATGTTGTCACCCGTACCTAGACGACTGGCTCATCAGGGTTCTAGATAAGCAGTTGAGTCTGGAAACCACACGATCAGTGTTGGACACTCTTATGAAACTGGGGCGTCGGGATAACCTTGTGGTTCAGACGTTTGCTCGTCATGCTGAAGTCCCGGGTTTGATTCCCTGCATTGGCACAATGTGTGAAGCCCATTTTGGGTGTCCCCTACAGTGATATTGCTGGAATATTGCTAAAAGCGACGTAAATCAAACTCGCTCATTCTCTCTTACGAAACTGGGCTGGATTGCCAATCTCAAGTCAGACCTCGTCTCGTAGCAAGATCCGATCTTTCTAGGTGTGATTATGTTTGAGGATGAGACTCATGCAGCAAGCTTGGGCACAGCTGGGGTCCCACTCAGAGAGCTACGAGAAGTTTCTCGAGACGCCAGATTTGGGAGTTGACACCCGTTCAGTATGTGGATAGGTGGCGCACAAATGTACAGATAGGGGGATTTCAGAATCTCTATTCTGCGAATTTAGTTCGGATATTGGAGTTACTTTAACTTCATTTTGGAAGAGAGCCTTATGGCCCCCACCATTCGCGGGTACTCCATAGCTATTTCAAAGTTTAGCACCCCTTTTGATGGTGCTCTGCCTAGGCTTCATAGCTGGTATGAACAGGGTTTCGACCGTCTCAGCGGAGACTCAGCCCACCTTGAAAATTGTTCTCAATTGGGTGTCTGGCCAAAACTTTTCAAGTCTATCGTCTCTCTCACTTCACTTGAGGTGGGAGACGGCTTTTCGTGTGGCGAGCTCCGGTAGAAGGGTCGGGGACATCCATGCGGTATCCACTGACCAGTCACTGACAGTATTTGATACTGATCATGTCAGTATTTGCCTCCCGGATACATACCACTCTCAGATCGATCTTGCTTCACTCTAGACAGCTATAGTGCGTTTGGCTCAAAAGCGGACCGATGAATTGCAATCTTACTCAAAAACTAATAAACATAACATACTCAGTGAAACACTGATCATAATCAAAACATCATACCAACTCTGTGAGGTTTTTGCAGAATTTTTGTCCTAAAAATAATAAAGTTGTTTAACAAACTATCATTAAAATATTGACACAGTTCAGTTTGTTACGAGGGAGTAGTGCAGAGAAAGGGACAGCCAGGTGTTCGAGAAGCACGTTCACAGACAAAGTTATTTATTCATTAACCTGTGCTGTGCCGTCTCCATCCGTTCTCGAACACCTGGCTGTCCCTTTCTCAAACTACGCCAATATGATTGCCCTAGAAATTCTTAGAAATTTGAAGAAAATTCATTAAAATTTGGATATTTAGACAAAAACCTTTATTTTCGTCATTTAAATACATTTTCGCCAAAAATAGACAAGAAGAAATGTAATACTGATAATTTTGAAATCTGCTTTTCAAGATATGTGAAATTTAAGCTTCACTATTCATTAGTGTCGTATTATCTTTCTCAGAATCCATCATGTTTTTAAGTATTTGACTTTAAGGTCAAACTTCTAATTTTGATCCTTGAAACTACTATTTCCGTCATTGTGTTGTGGTCTTGACATTGGGGAGGCCTGAGAGGTAAGGCAGCTATAGACGTCTTAACATACAAATATGTCAAGGTGTCCGAATAATGCTATATAGTTGTATTGTTTGTTTAGATCCCCGAGAGAGACTCAAGGAGGAACGAGATGGAATTGTGTTGAGTCCTCAGCGGGAGGAGCTTTGGTACAGGATGTCATGTGAGTCAGACATCCTCCCTAGGGAGACAAGTGAGCTGCCCTGCCGATTTCAAGGACGGAACAGACCGAGACAGGTGTGTGGACGATATCTGTTAGCAGAACTACATTGATAACTTCTCATGAACAGTTACTCATGGTGTACCTTCCCGTAGGATTCAGTGGTTAAATAGGACAAAAGAATCGGTAGTCAGGAATTTGACCTTTAGTAATTGCATGTCACCGTACATTGGTACACAATACCAATCACTGGTTACCATGGTTACTCTGGCAACTCATTGTGATTATTGTCAGGCTGGGTGTATACAGCTGGAGTGTGGAATATACAAAGCAAAAAGATCTGATTCTTTTAATCATGATCACTTTTTGGGATTAGCGGTTTATTTTGATAATTTCCCTCGCATATCTTACTTCCAAAACCTGCCAATTACTGAAACCTGTCGATTCATCTCTTCTTGACATTAACACACATTTTGAAGTTTGCTGTTTTGGGACTAAGTTGTTGCAGTAGTCACATTTGTCTTCAAAATATGGACTATTTGTGTTTGTTTCACTTCTTGTTTCACTTGTCTGCATGTGTAGAATATGATTTTGTTTCAGGGACAGACGAGAAAGGAGAATTGGGAGTGGGCGGATCACTATAGACCGTGATCAAGGACGTGAGAGGGAGTACCGTGGTGTCAGAGACCGTTATGACAGAGATGATCGACGAGGGACTGGCAATTCCACAGAAAGAACTTTTGAGAGGAGTGACCGCTATCACGGCAGCTCCTATGACAATAGCAGAGTAAATATGACTAATTACCCCAAGGAAATTCCTACTGTTTTTGGAGGGCAAATTTCTCTTCAAATGTCAGTTAAAGTAAATTTTGTTTCTGTATTGGATTTGCATTGTCTATATTCACTTATCTTCTTAAATACTTACATGTTGTGATGTCTGGCTCCTGAGTTGAGTTAAAGTTTTTGAGAGAAGACAAATTCTTACAACAGACACTGCTTTCTTTTCAGTCCAACTACAACAGATTTTCAAGAGACAGTAAGTAGTTTATTCTCAGTCGCGTTATTCTTTCTCAATTGCTTATCTGGGGTGTAACCTACATGTTACTCTAACATCACATTGAAGGCCATTGAAGCTGCGAGATGTAACTAGAAATGTCTTCAGGAAGTTACATCATATATGATTACAGAACTGGAAATGTCAGGAGTATTGTCAAATGTTACAGAAAGCAACAAAACTGACTACAGATCAAAGGGACGTGATAAACTGCCAAATGATGTAATAGATGTGATATTGCTATAATTTTACTTAAGTGTTGTTTGATTTCTGGTGTATCTCCCCAAACACTGAAACCCACTCCAGATATTGTTGGAATATTGCTATATCCTCCAATGAACAATGCTGAATCACTGACTCACACAAGTGTAAGTCATGCTGTTGCTCTGGTCCATACACAAGCCATTCTTGTTGCTCAGGTTTGAAAAAGGATCATGTGGCCACTGCAGAAAAGAACTTAGGAGTATCTTTTGGGTTGAGTGTCTTAAAAAGATGTATAAAATTGTTCGGATTCTTGTTCAGAATACATCCCCTGTAGTCACAGATTGTTGGAAGAACATGTGGAACCCAGATGTGATCTGGTTAGAACTCTTCTCCTACATTGCCTTGTGTAATCAAACTGGTCGTTTGTATGTTATCGAGGGGCGGTGGGGTAGCCTAATGGTTAAAGCGTTGGCTCGTCACGCCGAAGACCCGGGTTCGAATCCCCGAATGGGCACAATGTGTGAAGCCCATTTCTGGTGTCCCCCGTCGTGATGTTGCTGGAATATTGCTAAAAGCGGCGTAAAACCAAACTCAGTCAGTCAGTTGTATGTTATTGAAGGCCCATATTGTAAACAAGAGAAGATACTAATGCTAAGGATTACTTTCTTATCAGACCGCGGGAATAGACGAAGGTATGTAGAGGAAGAAGAACCAGAATGGTTCTCTGCTGGCCCCACCAGTCAGTCTGACACCATTGAACTGCGAGGCTTTGAGAAGGAACCAGAGGAAGACACAGGGCATGGAGAAGGGTTAATCATTGAGGAGGAAGAGGGTGAAGCACCTGCTGGGTCAAATGACAAAACAGGTATGATGTAACCAAGAACAGCTGTATCTTTGGAAGCCAATCCAGAATTGTTTCAGTCAGGACAAATTCAAAATTAATGCAGCCATTGTGATTAACAAGGTTTTACTGTATAAGATGGAACAATATCTGCCACATGTGTAGTTTCATATATACACTTCACACACGATGCTTATGATACAATTCTGTAAATACTTGTAATTTTTTCAGGTATCAGTGTTGGTGATCGTAATGGAAGCCTAGAGACAAACGAATCGAGTTCACCTGAAGTGAACCATGAAACTCGACCCTCACCATCAAACTCAGCACTCTTTGACTTTAATGACTTTTTTAAAGTTAACAGCAGTCTACTTATGGTAAGTATGTTAAACATGCTTCGTTACTCTTTTTGTCATGAGACATTCTTGGCTGTGATATGTATGATCTGATGAAAAGAGCTGTTTGATTTTGCAACTTATGAAAATGAATAAGTGAAGATAACTAAAGGAATGTAGATTATCAGTTAATCATGTTTTAAGAAATATGTTATCTTTTCAGGATGAGCAAACAGTTGAGCAGGATGTAAATGCCCAAGGCAGTCGATTCAGCCAGTGGTTCCAACAGCAACAGCAGCAACAACTTGTGCACGGCCACAGCAAAGACAACAGTCGCAGGTCATCAATCAATGAGGAGTTCAATTATTTGAATGGTAAGACTTCATTGCTTTTGTGACAGAGATTCATATGCATGTTCTCATCAGATATAAGTAAAGGTATTATAGGGCTACTTTCGCAAAAGCCAACATTTAAAAATTGGTTAAATATTTCAGAAATCGTCATAAAAATTATTAGACTTGCTCTGAGGAATTAGACTATGTAGTAGCTGTCTACTCCATTTTTCCAGTTGACAACACAATTTTAAGAGGCAATGCAAGATGTCTGGCATGAATTTGCTGATGTTTGTAAATACACTACAAATCTTTCAAATGCATGAATGAAATAGGGTTTCTTGTCACGCCATATGGACATTTGAAAGATTTTTCTGTAAAAAATGTGGTGTTTTGGGTTTGCCAAGAAGTTCCCATTCCATGCCTTGTTCTTTGACGAAGGAACTATTTCATTCCTACGTACATATAACGTATAAGGCCAAATTTATTTTCATTTCACCCTGCAGGAAGAACTCCTTTTCCTTGTTGACGTTATCACCAGCAAGGCTCTGTCACAAATTAGCTCCTTTTTGAAAATTTCTCCCAAGTAATTGTGTTTAATCATTACATGTGATGAGATCTAACTTTAGAGAGGGATGTTTATGTGTATCTATTTGCAGACATCATTGATGGATCGCGAAGCCCAGTGATACCCTCACCCCCACCAGCTCCTGCCCACATATATGATGGGAAGCCAGGAAATTTCTACCAGCAGTACGCCATGACCATGGAAGAGAAACAAGCACACTTGGAAGCAATGAATCAGAGGAAGAACAGTCCCAGTAACCCTCTTCTCAATGCCCTCTTCATGAACAGTGGACACATGGAAAAGTCTAATACTCGTACGTCCTGCACTGGATACCTTGTTGCTGTGCCCCATCGAATTTGTTCAACCGATAACTTTACAGTATTTCAATGGATTGTTTAGATTTGGCTACTGGCTCCTTTGTTTATAGTAGAGGAGCAGTGCAAATTTGAGACAGGTCTTGTATGTTTGTCATGTATAATCTTTATAAATTGTTGTACAGCTGAAGTTTGGAGTCATGGTCAGGGATATTAGTGACACTCGCTCAACCTTTTTAGTTTATTCCTGTCTGTTTCAAATCCTCATTTGTGTTGATTTGACTATAAAATGATGCCTTATTATCTATTTCAGCTGTAAACAGTGGTAACTTCAGCACCCAGGATGCTGAAGCTCAGCTGAAGGCTATGCTGTTCCGGGGCCGCGATTCCAACTCCTCCAGTGGAACTGCCAGCCCAGCTATTATGAGTGGACCTTCACGGAAAGTGAAAACATTGGCAGAACTTGAGGCAGACTTCCATCAAGGCAGTCCCACACATCATGTGAGCCCAATACAACACCAGAACCACCAACAGCATCAGCAGCAGCAGCCCCTGCCGCAGCAGCAGCCACAAACCCACCAGCATCAACAACATCCACAGCAGCATCTACAGCAACATCACCTGCAACATCCACAGCAACATCTTCAGCAACGCCCACAACTACAGCAGCACCCACAACACGTACAGCAACACCCACAACACGTACAGCAACACCCACAGCACATACAGCAACATCTCCCTCAACAACATCCTCAGCATGACCATCATCAGCATCAGGCACCGCAGGAGACAAAGACTGGTGACGATGGGGATTTGACAGCGTTCAACAAACTCCTAAGTATGATGCAGGCTGGAGCTGCAGCTGCAGTCGGACAGCATCATCTGCAGCAACAGCAGCAACATCAACATCAACAGCAGCAGCAGCAGCATCAGGCACCACCACCACCACCACCACAACAGGAAGCATCTAAGCATGTTCAGGTCTGTCTCACTTAATCTTCAGTGGCACAGGGCTGTAGGGGTTCACAGTGTCTCCTGCCTATCACAGGAGGGCATCTAGAATAAATATGGGTAGTCACATTGATCAAGTTACGAGGATGGAGGTAGTTGTCTTTGTAAGTCAGTATGGTGTACTTCTGGGAACTGGCTTGTCTGCTCCAGGCTTAGTGAATCTGTTCAGGATGCAGGGATGTAGCTGAGATTCTGCTGAAAGAAGCATGTCCCATTTAGACAGTCAGATGTCTGAGTTGAGTGAATGTCCATATGAATTTTCACTTATATATAGAAAATGGTAATGAAAGTTTGGTACAGAGCATAGAGCAGTCCTGAATTCAGCTGAAGGTTTTTTTGTGACTTTTGATATACATTACAAGAAGTTGCATGGCTTGTTCTTTGTTTAGAGACACGAAATCACACCAAACTTCTCTAAAATACATCATGCATTTCTCTCAATAATACTAACTATCAGCCCTCAGGGAAGCTACCATATTGTTTATTCCCCCCAAAATTACGTATTTAGATTACAACATTAAATTTAAAAGTTAGAATGAATTAATGCAACGTTGCATAAAATCGCCTCTCACACCCTCTACTGACCAGACATTATTATAAGTGAACCCCATAGAGTTAAGTCTTTTGGTGAGCTCTTTACAAATATCCTTCATACAACTTGTGATTGAAACCAGTTCGGCAAACACCGACAACACTGTGTGACAGTTTTTGATGTCGTAAGGGATATTACGTCTTTCATTTCATCAATAGAGGAAGTGAGTGCATGTGCCTCAATATATATAACAGGCCATGATATTGTTGAAAATGTGTGACATTGTGCCTTTAAACATATATTATCAAATGAAGAAATGAATTTGGTATGAATTGTCATCACTTAATTCATTAGGCCAGCTGCTTTTGTTTTTCCAAACTTCATTATTGACAAGGCCCAGTTCACCAAATATGATTTGTGGCCTAAACGTTACCGGTGAAGATCTGGGTGTCTTCAGCAACATGCTTGTCGTAAGTGGCGACTAACGGAATCGGGTGGTCAGGCACATGTCATCGTATGCCAACTGCTTAGATCGATGCTCACAATGTTAATCACTCGATTGTCGGGAGCAGACTCACTTGTTTACAGACTGCGGCCATATAGCTGGAATGTTGCTGTATGCAGCATTAAACAAGAAACAAATGTAGCTTATGCGCAACTAGATATCCTTGTCATAATTCTCTTGAGCAGTACTTGTGCTTGGTTGATAATGGTTACCTTTTTTCACTGTTATGTTGTGGCTATGTATGACAGATGGGTGGTCAAATGATGATGACCCCTGACGGACGGTCAATATCCCCACTCCAACAACAGTTTCACAATCTCCAGCTGCATAATAACAATAATGACTTCCTGCAGGTGAGGAGAGCAGCGGTTAGTAGTGGTTCATTCAGTTTTCTTACAGCCCACACGTTTGTTATTCCTTTGTTTTAAAGATATGCCTACACAAAAAATCATGAAGATTTGAAGAATTTTGAATTTGTAAATATTTTAGTTTACTTGTTTAGTCAAGCGAAAATGAAACAGTGAAGTGAAAATAAAGTATTCAGAAATAGTTCAAATAGCAAGCAAGATTCTGAATAAATGTCATGTAATGTTTGCTTTTTAGAATGTTAGTCTACTTACTAACTTCAAAAAATTCTGTAAAACAAAGCAAAAACAAAAGTGTGGTCTTCAGTTGATAATACAGTGAAACCCCCCATTACCACCAGTGGAAGATTGCTGGTGTTGGATGAAACTCCAGCCAGTGACGATCCCAATGAACACATCCAGAAAAACATCCTGGCAGTACTACAGTGTAATGTGTCTATTTGTGGGCAAATAGCCAGCAACAATGGTCTGAAAGGTGGGAATTCCAGGTTAATGGGATGCAGCGATGGTTACTTACGGCATATAAGTATGTATAAAAATGTGAATAAGCTAAAGACAATGGGAGTTCACTGTGTTTTATTACAGAATTACAAGTTTACGTTTTGTTATTTGAAACCAAAAATGTTCAAAAACATTCTGTTCCTGAGCTTCTTTTGCTCTGTACTGTTCATGTTTCAAGAGTTCAGCTTGTTTTGTTTTTACACTCTTAGTACATAAGCAAGTATCATGTTCCACCCCATGCACTACTCATCTATAATAAGTCAAATCAGCTACTTCCAAAATATATCCATTATGGTAAATTTACTAAATTAACTTGAAGGTATTTGTAGTTTTCATCTTTATTGATGTTTTGACACCTCCTTCTTTCAGGCTTTGATGAGGAACAAAGAGCAACAGCTCCACATCCAACAACAAACTCTTCAACACATGCAGCGGCAGCCTGCACCCCAGCCACCCCCAACCCACACTCAACCTCAGCAGCCCCCTCAACCCATGATCCCACCCCCCCAACCCCAGACACCTCGGGCTATAACCCAAGACCCCATACTTAACTTCATCCAACAGAATCCCACCATCATCACAAAGCCTCCTTCTCCCTCCCCAACTATACCCACCCTCATGACTAACCCCTCCAACCCCCGTGTTGTCTCTCCGGCCCCACAGTCACTACCCCCCAGCCTGCTGCCCAAACAGGTGCAGACACCACAGCAGATTTCAGGAGCAAAGATTCCATCACCCATTAGTACGTCACTCTTGTGCTTGTTGCCTTCACACCTAATCTTAAGTAATGGTCTTGTCATTTCACAGGGAATCTTTTTCTTTTCTGTTGTCTGATATTGTACTGTAATTAGTTACTGTCATATTGAAGTTCTGCTAATATGTATAAAGAGAAAATAGTAAGATGTATTTCTTGACAGTTAAATATATGAATTTTGTTTTTGAACTTCAAAAGTGAGCAAAGTGACTGTTATTTGGTTCTTAGTTATTCATTGTTCCCATGAGAAGTCAGCTGGAAATATTTCACTGAATGTTTCTATTGCAGTGTTTAGTCAACAGCCACCAATGCACCTGAGTGCCCCATCACCAATCCACCCCGCACAACTCGCCCGATCTCTTGCTAGTCATCCTCTAACAGCCAATACTCTAACTGTAAGTCTAGCCGGTGTTGACTGTTCAGATACTTCTTTTAAGTTATGCTGTCAGCAGTAGATCAATAAGAGCTGATGTCCATTTTCAGCTTAATTTACCAGATAAATACATTTGATGGTAATTTTATCTCTGTGTCCAGCGCCTAACAGTAAGAAATAACATGTAGTCAAGCCTAGTCATATTTCATATTTTCATTAGAATGTTTGTTTTATCCTGTTCATTCAGCGGAGGCAATATGTTGTATTTTCCTGCACATATTTTTCAGTCATTTCCTCTTGAAAATCCTGCTTCCCCACAAGGGGTGTGTGCATTATACCTGGGCAAACACTGTACTGGAACTGCAGCATGAGTAGAAGATGAAACTGAAACCTTAAACATGTTTAGTACTGATAGAGCGGAAATACATAGCGTGTACAAACAGGTGCAACCAGCCTTCACAATATCCCTGAATTATCTCCAGTATGTTATCATACTGATTTTTTTGTTATAACAAACTCTATGCAGCTGTTAAACATCTACATCAAACTGATATTTGGCCCCACACTCAAGTACCACTAATTAGTGACGTTTAGAGCAAGCTGTGAAATCAGGCCAGTTAGTGTCATTTGCAGATGGCCAAAATCAATGAGCAGTGTATCAACACAATTTCATATCTTGTATGAAAATTGTGGTGGCAAAATGTTAACTGCCTATCTGATGACTGATATTCTAAAAATGCTATGAAATGATGGTTATAAAATGTTATTAATAAATTAAATCAAATATTTGAAGGGTATTTAGAAGTGGAATACACAGGAAAAGCAAGATTTTATGGATGTCAACTTCTTTATTGTGAATAACATGATGTTTCTGAGTGTATGCTGGCTCCTTCACCTTGCTTTTCCAATAAAGTGAATGTTTTTAAGTAACCTTTGCATGTCTTATGTATATTTCATCCAAGATGGTGAACATTTCCAGGACAACTTATATATTACAAACAAGTGTATGACAACCGTATTCCTCCAGTCCCTTGTAGTAACCATGTTCTACTGAATATCAATCTGAATCTGGCTCATCAAGTACATCATATGGTTTTTCATGACACTAAAGAACATAAGTTTGAAGCTTGCCATCACATGTCTGATTGTGGTGTTGTAGACGGCCTCGGCCAACATTCGTCCCCAGAGTGTTGCTCGTGTACCAAGCCCCCAGGAACTGATAGCTCACACACAGGCAATCATGCAGTCGGCTCTCATCAAGAAACAGTTGGAAGATCAGAAGGAGCGATTCCTCAAGAAACAGCAGGAGAGGTATGGGCATCATCCCTTTACAGGCCGAGGAATTAGTAACTTGCCTTTACAAGCTAGTCTTTCTTAGATTTTCTTTCCAGTGCTTGGAAAATGTGAATTAAATAGAACATATGAAACTGAAGACTTCTTTACTATTTGACTTGGTGTAGAGACAGATGATGTATTGCCTGACTTCACTGTTTCAGAGCCCGTTCTCCCAACCAGAACAGAGCCAATCCTTCTCCCATGCCGACCACACCTACAGCTGTGAGCCAGGGCAAAGTAAGTGAAAACAACTTGAATTTTTTCTAACTGAATTGTCTGAAAATGCAATTTTGTTATGCTATTTTATCCTGCATCAAATTTGAATATCATATTATTCACAACAGTCTTTAATGCTACAATCCCTTCTTGCACACATTATACAATTGTTAAGGGTTAGTTCAGCTTCCTCAGAAGTAGGGTTATGACCACAAAGAAAAGTGTTACAAGCAGTTGCTACTGCAGTATTAGTAAGTATTCACTTATCTGAAGTTTTAACATGTTTTCAGGCTTATCTTTTCTCCTGTCGTTTTGGGAAATCCAAGATTTGTAGAAATTTTCCTCAAGGCTGACATTTTGATGTGTGACAGTGTGTTTATTATTCTGCTTATTTCCAGTCCACCATGTCTGCAGCGTTCACCCCGACATCTGTCATCAGGAAGATGCACTCAGACCGAGCCAGTGAGAAGGAGAAAGGCACAAAAGACCTGGACCATGGTGATCATTACAACTCCTCTTTTGTTTCAAAATAAAATTAACGTCTGTACAGATAAACCAACACCTGCACAATTTGGCAAGTTGTCAACTGGCATAAAATCTCAGTCCCGTCCGTGGCTAGTACATTTATCATCATTTAAACCCTGCAATCCGGCAGCTGTCAATTCCGGATCTCGGCATGAAATGAGCTGCCCAAATGTGTGTTTATACAGTTAACAGCGCTGTCTAATTTGGTGCATGGTGAGGAGTCTGCTGGGTGTTTTTTTGTCATTAATTAATCCTGTATTGGAATAACCAGGGATTATGAGCATGCAGCAGCCATCATTTGTAGGTAACCGTGTCAGCTCTACAATCTGGCATGTTGTCTAAACCGGATTATTTCTTCAGTCCCGACCTGATGCTGGTTTGGACAGCTCCCACTGAATGTTTTTGTTATGGTTTTGTTCAAAATATGTTTTCTGACATATTGCCTTGCAAGCCGAAATATTGATATTTCAACTAATGGGTACAGTTGAGAAATATTTGTCTCTTATTCATTGACATATTTATAATGATTATCATTGACATTGAGGTAATGATTATCTGTGAAACGTATACATCCTTCATATGAGAGGGGCACAGGCACCGAGTTGAATACACAAGGCTGCCCAAACCAGTGATGATGCATTTGAATGGCAGATTCACACTTACAAGGGCTCCTGTTTCTGTCACTACCAATGTCGAAGAGCTTTCCTTCCACATCAAGCCAGCATGCTGTGATGTAACCAAAATACTGCTCAACATGGCAGTAAAAGAAATAACTCACTTATTCCTCCTTCATTTTCCAGATGACCTTGACGGGAGTCCAGCAGATGGAGGTAATGACTCACACTCATCTGACAAGTACCACTCAGATGAACGCGCAAGACAAGATGCAGAGGAGATTGCTTCTCTGCCAGGAATAGACTTTAATGCTGAACCCAACCAGCCCATGACCAGTCTTGAAGAAAAGGTAACCATCACACCATTATGGACAATATTTGTGGTGTCAGTAGCCACAAGAGTGAAACTTGTTGTATGTTCCTCCCAAAACCAGCGTCAGTGGTATAGGGTGTGGATTTGTGATAGGATTCCTCATGCTTTGTGCAGCTAGTAGCACAGTTAACTTTGAGTCATCACAAGGGCTCAGTGGCAGATGCCATTATTTGTGCCTTTCATCAAAGTGCTGTCATAATTTTAAAAGAATAAATGACCTTGCAGTAATATTAGAACAATTGGCATAGTGCATTAAAGTGTGATTCTTTTACACTCTGGCGTTACAATCTGATTTACCTCAATCACCTCTATTATGCTTCTTTGCATTGTGAGTCTCAGGACTTTCTTGTTCAGACTAGAAATTATTCACAGACTGACGTCATATAGCTGGAATATTGCTGAGTGCTGCATACGACAGTACTCAAAACAAACATGCTTGTGTATATATTGACAAATGTGTTGTTGAATGATTGTTTCTGTGTAGCTGAAGTTGGCTGGCATCAGTGGTCAGTCTGGCAACAAGTCAACCCCGATCCTGGGTCAAGGAGACAAGTCATCACGCCCCGTGGTCGGTCAGGGAATGATGCAGGGCAGTGTTCCCATACAAGTCCAGACAGTAGCGAACTCAACACCAGTCCCAGGCAGGCCCATTGTGAAAGGTGAGACTCAACCTTGAATGTCTGACTTGTGCCCAAACAGGTGGCAGTAGGTATCCGAATAAAGCTTTGGCTTGTCATTAAAAGACTTGGGTTGTTTTCTCCACATGGGGTCCGTGCATGAAGACTTGTAGTAACTCATTCATGGTCTCAGTTAGACATACATATGGCATTAGTCAAGAATTAGATCAAAATGTGTCCAATCGCCTTAAGTGGTTTTGTCCATTGAACAATAAATTTTGTGTATATCTTTTATATTTTTTGTTTTTTTATCTATACAACAAAGTTATGTTTTGGATGTAATGCAGAATTTTGTAATGCAACCAATTTTGTCTTATACTGGTGGTGGGTTACAGTATTGCCTGCTACTAACAAATATTTGAAATAAGGTGGTCTATAATTACGACAGACATTGTTGTGTAATGTCACCTTCAACATAATCTTGCTTGCCTAGGAACAGTTTTACCCCAGACACCTGCCAGTACACCCAGTCAGTTCCGCCCGCTCACAGGAGGCCCAGGGGCTGCATCCACACCTGTCCGACCCGCTGATGGTGGTCAGAGGGCAATTGTGGGATCCTCCAACCTGGCTGCTTTGGACATGGCCAAGGTGCTGGAGCAGCAACAGCGAATACAGCAACAGCAATCGGCAGCAGCAGCTGCAGCAGCACGCCAGGTTGTGAACACCCCATTAGCTGGGCGCCCAGTTGGTGTTGGCTCAAATGCTCCTTTCGGTATCCCAATCACAGGACGCATGCCAGTACAGTCTAACGTGGCCCCACCCAACGTACATGCTGCGGGTGCAGCCAATGCGCTGCTCATGCAGCAGATGATGCAGCAGAGTACAGCTGCTAGAGGTACGTCGTCACAGATAGACAGCATGTATTAACTGTATGGGGGGAGTAGTCTTATTCTCCTTGTTGACAACAGAAACAACCTTAAACCATTCTCAATTATCCAACATGTTACTCTATATATAATCTGGATCAATTTGTAGAGAGTGGTTTGAGTACCGAAAAAACACAATTCTCAAATAGGCATCCATCAAATTACACTGTTCTCATTATTGGAATTGTCAGTGATGTCACTTGTATTTTAATCAACTTTTGTCCCGTGTGAAAGACTGAGCATTAATATGATTAGTAGCTGTTCCACAGTAAGTCATGCAGGGTAGTGAGTTTAGTTTTACCATGCTTTTAGCAATATTCCAATAATATCGTGACCGGGACAGCCAAAATGGGCTTTAGGCATCAATGAAAAATGCCAATGTTTCTATTCATCACATCAAAACAGACAAATTGGGCTGTCAAGGAAACTGTTATATCATGTAAATAGTGAGATGAAATGAGATGTAACATGAGTTTAAGATTATTGCACTAATATAGCGACTTGTAATGATATGTGTGTGTGGCTGTACTAGTCCAGACTGATGTCAGTTGTATAGTGCTACCCGACTTAGTGCAGTCGTTTATCCTGTTCTGGTTTCATCTCCTCAGTGCTGAATGCCACATAGAGAAACAACAAGTGCTTTCTTTAAATGTTTTGGTATGGTACATCTTTAAGGGAACTTCAAGACATTGATGTTTTTGCTGTTTCCTGTGAAATTCACTCCACTATTATCTCTCTCCCAAAGGCTTGAACTTAAACTCATTGAGCCAGATCAACCAACTGAATCAGCTGGCAGCCATCCAGCAGGCCCAGCAGCGTATGGTGGACCCCCGTCTCCAGGGGGTGCGCTACCCTGGTATTGTGCCCCAGATCATGAACCCACGCAGCACTGCTGGGACCAACATGGGTCTTGGGGTAACTGGTAACCCTGCTATCAACGCTGTCCTAGGAAGAGCCCTGTCGCCACAGATCCTACCTGGGAGGCGGGCAGAAACTTAGTGAGTTCATATCTGCTTTAGCAAACATTCTGATGAATTGGCATGGATTGTTGGTGTGAAACAAATATTCACACTTTCAATTTGTGTTTGAGAAGCTTGACAATGGTACAAGAATCTGTACCGAAATGTTGCACTCACGAAATAAGAGAAGTTGTTATCCATAAAGTTAAGGAATATTGTACTTCCCAACTTGTAAAATGCCACTCGAGGAGGTTATGTGTTTAAGCTAATATGACAAGGCATGGATCAGTGAATCCAAATGATTTGATTCCAGAAACTAAACTGTTCTGTTGATTACCAACAGTGATAAGTTATGTCCGAACAATTATCTGCCTTTAGTAAGGTTGTGGCTTTGCTAAATCCCATTTCCTTAAATATTTCAGGTGTGAATGGCCCGCTATCTCCCAACCTGTCATGTACAAGTCCAGCCCAGTTCATCACCAGCCAAGCGGCTCTCAATGGCAACAACAACATAACCAAGACATCCACTGCGTCCGACCCCAACATCCTCAAATGGTTCAGCTCGGACGTCTTGAAGAATCACATGCCAACCATGCCCCCTCTCCCAACCCAAGGACAGAAAGTCCTGACTCTGGATGACTTGGAGGGAACCTAGCTCACCCGTTCTGTGTTAACATTTGCTTTATCTTCCATGTGAGTTTGGCTTGGTCCAGGCCACCTGTGGCTATTCAAGGAGGCACCTGTAAATTGTTTTGTCGTTTGATTTGTCATTTGTAAAAAAAAATGTAATATGACTTTTCTGTTACTCTTATTTATTATGTTGAGTGATGAGCATCACGTGTAAATAGATACGATGTACTTTCGGTTGGTTTCTTCAGTTCAAGTTTTCTGCTGGTGTGCTGATGGTGTTTTGTTTCCTATGAGGACATGAAGAAGGTTTTTGTGAATGTGAGGTATAGTTATATCTGGATATTGTACGAGGTTTGCCACAAGTTACTTTGGTCACATCATTGTCATCATACGTGAAATGTTCATCTGGTTACTCTCATCTTTCTCATTGCTCTTTGTTCCATGTTAATTTAAGTTTCAGTGTTAGATTTTTGCTACTCAATGTATGTGTGCATGTTTGTGCCAGGAGAGATTTCTCCTGGATTGCGGTTTGAAAGGGTATATGGAATGTTTTTTCCCAGTTTCAACGTTTAACATCTTCATTGTCTGTTGTGTATGTGTTTGACTTTCTCTGTGTAAATATATATACATATGTAAATCTGTTTTGTGTAGTGCCGACTTTGTCGGCGTTCATGTTGAGAGTGGTAACTTTTTTGTGTCCTTGACCATGTTGTGTTTGATGTAGGTGTTTGTGTGATCTGTGCCCTGGTTACGTGGTATATTTTGTTTGTGTTGAAACTTGGTGCCCTAGAGTTTTGTGGTAATTTCAGTCTTATGAATGTTTTTGACATATTCACTTCCAATTTTGTTTAGTATTTATCGTCAGATCATTACATCAGTGTGCTATTGTTATGTGTCATTGTAGCCCGTTAGTTCATTCCAACTCTTTGTTTTACACAAACACTGCTTTTTTTCCTTGTATATTGGTGCAAATTTGAAACTTCTATCTGCTTGACTTTGCCCTAGTGCTGTTGAGTCTGTACATATCTGTAACACTGCCATGTGAATACACGCTTCTCTTACCTAGGCATAGTGCTGGCTGGTTGTAGTGTGTGGGTGACGTTCATTAGCAAGTCGAGACAGGACTGTGATGAGTGACTGACTGACTGCCCTATACTGAGTGATATGGAGAGAGAACGAGAGAGTGGACATATATTTTTGTATAAATGATGGTAAGGGTGGATTTTCTTGGAAGCTCCTTGAGAGCAGTTGTACCTATTTTCAGAGAAATTTATTTGGCTTGAGTGGAAAGGTCAGTGCTCCCAGTGCTTGGACCTTCTGCAGGTAGATTCTGCATCGGCAAAAATAAACTGACTTGGCCAAAGAAACAGGTGTATATTATGTGCTTAAGTATTGTGAGAACAGTGTTGGACATGACGTAGAGGTTTACTTGTGTATCTTCCTTCTACCTGCACCAGTCTTGTGTTAAGTTATCACACACATTTGTGAATAGAACTTGATCTTATCTATTGTGTCTGTGTATATACTTCCTTCCCGCCAACTGCTAGAAGGTCCAGAAGGAGTGTTCCTCTTTAATAGGAGCAACTGTATTCCAAAGATTACTTACCGCATGTCCACCTGACTTGGTAGTGTGTCAGGTGCGGAGAAGGATGGACGCTCCTTGTTTGGAGGAGATCACATGACCAGATCAAATTAACAATATTAAAAGAGTCATTTTGTTCTTGGCATATCAATCATTCTTCTCATAAAATGTTCGTCTTCAAATCATATCGTTCGTTGTGAACAATTCTTGCTCGTACTTTTTTTTCTGTAAAAGCAGCATCCAATGTTATTTCTTTGTCATGACATTGTTACAATTAATGTTCCACTACTGCACCGCCTATAGTAGGTTGTTGTGCCAGGTGGGATAGAATAAACTATTACTTCATTTCCTGGCCATACAACAGCATTTTGAGCCTACAGTTGTCCAGTTGTAGTTACTGGTAGCATCTGCTCCGTCTGTTTACTGTTACTTTCTGTACAACTAGCTTTTGGAAAACAGATTTGCCTGATACTGTTTTGTTGACATTGGTTATGATACCTGAGACTGTTTTCAATGACAGAATCTTCAAAGATGGAATAACTGTTGCAAGTTTAAAAAACAATTCTTATTACTTTTAAGATACTGTGTTTTCAATTTATTTTGGATTCCAAATCTGTATTTTGAAATTGTATTCTTGCCACTGTTGAAAGAGCTTTTCAGTTCATGTAAACTTCTCTCTCTCCCGGTGAATATTGAATTGATCCCTTTTTAAGTTGTTCATTTCTTTTTCTTAGTGTCAACAGTCAACTCATCAACTGATTTTCATTCGATGTAATCTCATCGGTGAATTGTTTCATGGCTTGTTGAACTTATGGCGAGTCACACGCTACATAGTATGGGAGTATATTTTCCAGCTGCCCTTGCAATTCATCAACTACATTGTATTTTCAAGGTCCATTTGATCAGGACAAATTTGTGGTCTCTGATATTTAATCTGCCAGTGACAGGTTTCTGTTTTCCAAAAGTCTTCATCAGTATTAATTGTTTTGTGGGCCGACTATATACGTAGATGTTGGCGTGCCCGCAGTAGCTGATGCTGCAACTGTAGGCGTGTGGCCATTGTTGTCAATGTTCTAGCCGTCTCTTGAACTGAGTGTTCCAAAGATAATTCCACAGTGCTCATGCTTGGCTGGTAGTCAATTTCAAAATATGTGGCCCTTTCAAATATAATTTTCTGCAAGCTTTGATAAAGGGAACTAACAGAAGATTAAATTTGAAGGTGTACATGTTCCCACCTACCTCGTGATTTGTAAATTTCCTGTAGATTTCTTCAAGATTATCTAGAATTATTTTTCTTTTCTCTGTTGTCTTGTAATGATTCCATTACAGCTTCTCTACCAGTCTTTGCCTGAGCACTATGGTGAAGAAGTTAAAACAAGCACTTAAATATTCTCTCAACAATACTTTTCCACACATAATGTTAGTTGAGCTAACATGGACATTTGGACATGTATAAGGATCAGGGGATACTAAAATGAGCAACTATTTCTCCAATGTGAAGAGTTTATTTACGTGCTTACTCAGTCGTTTCTTTTCTCATTGTACATGATATTGTTACTGTCCTTGAGAAAAGAATTGAGAATGTAATGTTTGGAGGAGCCTTTCTCTGTAAAGAGACTGGCTTCGACAAAAAAATTCAAAAAGATAAATAAAAATGATGAAATAATAACTCCTGTTCTGTGAAATTTGAATAAGGAAATGATTACAATTTACAATCATAAAGATGGTTATCATCCTCTATAGTCTAAAGCTGAATTACAAGTTGACCCATTGTATCCAGGATTGTTCAGTAGCTTGAGAACCCCCGAGATCAGTACACAAGATGAAATATTTGGAAGGAAAGACAAACAACTGAATATAAAAATACAATAATTTATTACAAAGAGATGATATAGCTACAATGACTGATGCAATGAAATACAAAAACAGCAATATACAATACATACATTTTTCTTCAACTGTGAGTGTGACAACTCAACACAACCTCTTGAAAACTAAGATCTCTCTCTCTATATATATACTTTATGGAATCTCAAATAATTGACAAAAATTACGAACATTTTGAACTGGCATGGTGAACACCAAAGACATGGACGGATAATAAATAATTTATGAAAAAAGTGTGACATTCTCCCTCAAAATCAGAACCAAGGGCGGGTAATCATGAAGTAGCCAGTGATGAAGAAGACAGCCACTAGTGAGAAGGCAAGTGTGTACATGGGTGGGTCGGCTCCATAGCTCTTGGTGATAGGGTACAACAGCTCTCGCCAACATGCATCATATTTACACACAGTCTGTTCAAAGTCTTCGTAATATCGGGCACATGTGTCAGTAGTGCAGGATGGATCTTTGGAAGTATAGAATCTGTAAACAAACAAAGTCTTGCTTCAACATTTTGAAACAGAAAGATGTTAGTCACAATCGGAAGATACTGAATGACTGACAATCAAGCAACCACTCCAATAGAAAACCAGTTGTTCAGATCTGTGTTGAGACCTGTTTCTGTTTCACAAATGTTTAAGCTAGTATATTAATCTCATTTAGAATATAAGTAATGGACTTCTGGTCTTGCATATTCTCCACCATTTGGACTGGCTTTAAGGCTGCTTTCTGCAGCATAGCACATCCACTCAGTGTTTGAAGGAAGTCTAAGTGCTGTTAAATGCTTACCACTTCAGTGAAACAAAACTATACATACTGTGTGTCAAACCGAGGATCATAGGCAAGAACCTGACATAACTAAGGGAGGTAACTGAGAGTTTTGATGACCTTTCCAGATCGTATATCCACAAAATAGATGACCATAAAACAATTAGCACACTTTCACCAACTTCTAGAACTTTTTATAAACAAGGCCGTTTATATGATTAAAGTATATGAACGACATAAAGAATAATTGGAATGAGCGAACCTCTTGATATGAAGCAGATAAGGAACTAATCGCAAGTCTCTTGCAATGAAAACAATGCTACTGCTGCAGACCTGGCCATGAATGTAGGATAGTGTACGACTAATACTGGAGCAAGTACACACTTAGATTTGTTGGCCAACAAAATTTAAAAGCACCACAAACATTGGTACATGAGACTGAAAAGTACAGTGTGTACAGTGATTATTGCAAACCCTCTCAGTCAGAGTATGTACAAAGTGACATGATGTATTCAAGTGACATCAACGGGAATCTCTACATTCAAAGAACACCAAGCAGGGGTGGAAATAACTTTAAAATTGCTAGTGTACTCCGGTACAGTGGCACATGTAAAATCACTTGCCCTGATCATTTTTCCACTATACCGGACGTTTTCTTATTGATTTTTTAAATAAACAGCATTATTATCACTGGAAAGTCAACTGTACAGCGGTACAGCGGTACAGCATGATATACAAATTTGCTTGCCCGACAGAAAAAAGCACTGGACTCGGACGTCAGGCAATGGGTTATTTCCACCCCTGCCAAGCCCTCTTTCAAATACTGCTTCTAAACTTCATGTCAGTGAAATAGTGAGTGAGTTTAGTTTTAAACCACTTTTAGCAATATTCCAGCAATATCACGGTGGGGAACACCAGCAATGGGCTTCACACAATGTGCCCATGTGCAGAATCGAACCTGGGTCTTCAAGCATGACAATCTAACGCTTTAACACTAGGCTACCCCACCGCCCCCAGTTGAATAGCAACACTGATATACTGTGAAGGCTACACACTTGATTCTCGGTTCTGGCACCGAGGCTGGGACCTTGACGAAGGTGACGGAGCTGGTCAGGGTGAAGGTCTGCACGTACTGACTACTGTCCTGACAGCGGGCTGAGTTCGCTCCACTGCACTGCATCCTCCAGTGTGACTTGGTGTAGCTGTAACAAACACACAAGTTCACAGTAGCTGTAACAAACACACAAGTTCACAGTAGCTGTAACAAACACACAAGTTCACAGGCTCGAACTGCCTCAAGTCCTGGACCTAGATTTTTGAAGCTCTCCTAGTGTTAAGCTGGTCATAAGTACCATACATTAACTATCTTAGCTCTAAGAGAACTTTGAAAATCTAGGCCCCGGTGATTTCAGTTTTCACTGAGGATCCTTTTCAAACAAGTTTCCAAACCCTACTGCAGTAAGTTGTCTTATAACATCATGGGAATATCTTTAGTAGTGTTTTCTTACAGTGAAGACAATAAATATTTCAGGATCATGGTCTGTGTCTGACACAAGAAATATTTCTTATGCAAACCTTCAATAATGTAACTGTTTTAATCTTGACATCAACAAAACTAAACCTTACTGGTAATTATAATGTCATGAAGACAATATGTCAATTTGTGGTACTAATTTCAGTTAATAGTCAAATTATCTGGACTTGGCTACTGACTGCTCCCATAAGTGACTGACTATCCCCCTTGACCAACTCACCACCTCCTGGACTCAACACTGACTCACAGACTATCCCCCTAGACCAACTCACCACCTCCTGGACTCAACACTGACTCACAGACTATCCCCCTAGACCAACTCACCACCTCCTGGACTCAACACTGACTCACAGACTATCCCCCTAGACCAACTCACCACCTCCTGGACTCAACACTGACTCACAGACTATCCCCCTAGACCAACTCACCACCTCCTGGACTCAACACTGACTCACAGACTATCCCCCTAGACCAACTCACCACCTCCTGGACTCAACACTGACTCACAAACTATCCCCCTTGACTCCAACTCACCACCTCCTGGACAGCTCAACACTGGCTATCCCCTAGACCGACTCACCACCTCCTGGACTCAGCACTGACTCACAGACTATCCCCTAGACCAACTCACCACCTCCTAGACTCAACACTGACTCACAGACTATCCCCCTTGACCAACTCACCACCACATGAAAACTCACCAGCACTGACTCACAGACTATCCCCCTTGACCAACTCACCACCTCTTGGACTCAACACTGACTCACAGACTATCCCCCTAGACCAACTCACCACCTCCTGGACTCAACACTGACTCACAGACTATCCCCTTGACCAACTCACCACCTCCTGGACTCAACTATTCCCGACTCACAGACTATTCCTCTAGACCCGTCCAACTCCACCTCCTGGACTCAACACTGACTCACAGACTATCCCCTAGACCAACTCAGACCAACTCTGGACTCCACCTCCTGTCCCACATGACAACTGACTCCCCTCAGACTGTCCCCTAAGACCAAACTGTCTTTTAGCTCACCACCTCAATGAGTAACAACAGACTTTTCTCCACTATTTTCATGACAACAGAAGCCCCTCTGTACCATGACAACAGAAGTAACTCTCCTTTACCATGACAACAGAAGTCTGTACCTGTACCATAGCTCATGACAACAGAAGCCCCTTTAATTCAATGACAACAGAAGCCCTATGTACTGACCACTTAACTTAACAGAAGCCCTCCGTTACCTGACAACAGAAGCCCCTCTGTACCCTCCTCCATAGTCAATGTGACAACAGAAGCCCCTCCGTACCATGACAACAGAAGCCCCTCTGTACCATGACAACAGAAGCCCCTCCGTACCATGACAACAGAAGCCCCTCTGTACCATGACAACAGAAGCCCCTCTGTACCATGACAACAGAAGCCCCTCCGTACCATGACAACAGAAGCCCCTCCGTACCATGCCAACAGAAGCCCCTCTGTAACATGACAACAAAAGCCCCTCTGTAACATGACAACTGTCACACACCTCAACCCCCCTCCCACAACAGAAGACAAAGTGTTCTGCGTAGATACCTGACTCGAGCTCCGACCACCTCCCTGATTGAGTAGCCATTGACCTGTCCAGTTTCTCCATATAGAACAACTAGATTCACGCCACTGGTGATGTTGGCACAGACCCCTCTCAAGTTGTCTACTGGCATGTACACGTCATCGGTGGTGTTGTCCGGCACTGTGCTGTTGTCAACTGTTGTCTCATTGAGGATGGGCAGGTCTCTGGCAAGTCAAGAGAGAGTTCACCATGAGGCCTTACACCACGATGGGCAGGTAACACTGCTTACACCTTCAGCAACATCAATCCACAGCGAAAACAGATAAAATATTTCGCATAGTCTTTACACAATTCTTTACCTCATGTCACAAAAGATCATCGAAACTGTACAGTTTTTCATTCTTTATGCATTTAGATTTGCCATTTAATTATTCTTTTTAGTCAGTGTATCCTGAGAGGAAGCTAAATTGAGGTTTGAATAAGTTCCCTTACTACGTCTAAGGGTAACTAATTAACACTATGAAAACTGTGGGGTGTTGCAATACTTTTGTCCATGTGTATACTTGTGAAAACTGCACTTCTCACTTTCAAGTACCCCAATAACCAAACTGGGTCATTAATGGCTCTACCAGATTCAGTAACGACACTTTTTTTTTTTTTTTTTTTTTAATAATATTTTTTTTCATTTCAGTGAAGCATACAAGATGGCATATGAATATGATTTGATGAAACAGTAGACAGGCATGACATATGCATCGAGTACTTAGAAGGTGTAATCCCGAACCCGACACATGTTACATTTGGTCAGTTAATGTCATCATTCCTTCACTACATGGATTATTGCTTTAGTATCAATCACTGGATCTTCCAGTCCAGGCTCAATTATTGATATGGCTGCTGTCAATAGCTGCAATGTTGATGAATGTGGCATTCAGTGAACTCATTCCTCAGATGATAACACTGACTCACCTGAGAACTGTCACCCACATAGTTGAATCAAAAAGGGTCATTGTAACCTTGACGACCAATCAGATCTGACGGCATCAAGACACTGAGATGATTCAGGACCAGTTGTCTACAAAACAAACATGCTTGGTGATAACAACAGACATAGACAGTTGGCACTATAGTCTGTTTGCAGTGAAAACCTACCGATGAATTTCACTTTCAACAAAAATGTAAATCAAAAGAAGTGAAATTAAGATTGGGAATCCTCATAATTTTACCTTGCATTTGAACATTTAAATTCAGAATTTTGTTCAACTTAAGATAAAAGTTGTTTAACAAACGATCATAGTTTCAAATCGCTATTACTGGTTTGTATTACAAAGGGGTAAGCCCAGTAGTTGGAACAGTGAAACAAATTTCACTGCAAACAGACTATACACAAGACTGATAGGTTCATTCCCCTAAAGACAAAAACGACTGAACCCGTGAAGATCCAGGTTAGAATTTGTCTTCAGCAACTTAAGCTTGTAAAAGCGACTAACACGATTGGGTGGTCAGCCTTGCTGAGTTGGTTGACACATATCATCGTATCCCAATTGCGTAGATCGATGCTCATGATGTTAATCACTGGACTGTCTGGTCCAGACTCGATTATTTTACAGACCACTGCCATATACCTGTAGCTGCAATATTGATGATTGCTGCATTAAACAACAAACCAACCAAAAGCTAAAACTGATTGGTTCATTCATGGTTTAATGCTGAGCTATATTCCAACAATACCATTATCCTTCTTGCTCATTTGGTTCAGACACATAAAGATCTGGGTTAGAATTGGTGTTCAGTAACTCATGCTTGTCATAAGATTGATGTTCATGATGTTGATCACTGGATTGTGTGGTCCAGACTATTATTTACAGACCGCCGCCATATAGCTGGAATATTGCTGAGTCGACGTTAAACAACAGAAAACAAACCTTTGGTCCAAGAAAGCTACAGAGGTAAGAAAGAGTGTTCCACATACACATTTTCCACGGTATGTCAAACTGCTAACTGATTATCAATTACTGACTGGTAAATGGATCAAAAAGAGATTTTTCATGGCCGCCATGGCACTCACATCAGGTACTGGTTCAGCTCAAAATCGATTCAGTATGGATCAGGTGTTTAAAATGCAAAATTTATCACATTAGCTACCACAAACCATTTGTTATTTGACATAAACATCTATGGGTGACTGACAGACTTGATACAAGAAGATACTGATCAGAACTTTCTGTGGATTATGACATAAAAGTGAATTTTACTTGAGGTCTGTGCAGTTGTTGATTCGGTCAATGTTGAGTCTCAGGTCACAGCTAGTCAGTATGTCCTCGCCAAAGGTCAGGGGTCGTCGCGTTGCTGATTGGCACAGGCCATCGACACCTGCGTGTAAAAGTGAATCCTTATGAACAACAAACTTGAATGAAACAGCTGTACATACAGGATGAGGACATTCTGAGAAGTGCAGTAGCAGCACTGTGTTTGTCAGGTCACAAATAGCGAGTCACATCATGAGTTTGGGCTCCAAGCCAAGTCACTATGATCTTCATAAATCAAGTCTAAACAATATGAACAGGTATCATCTAGAGAATAGGTATCATCTATAGAACAGGTATCATCTAGACAACAGGTATCATCTAGAGAATAGGTATCATCTAGAGAACAGGTATCATCTAGAGAACAGGTATCATCTAGAGAACAGGTATCATCTAGAGAACAGGTATCATCTAGAGAACAGGTATCATCTAGAGGAATCTAGAGAAGGTATCATCTAGAGAATAGGTATCATCTAGAGAACAGGTATCATCTAGACAATAGGTATCATCTAGAGAACAGGTATCATCTAGACAATAGGTATCATCTAGAGAACAGGCATCATCTAGAGAATAGGTATCATCTAGAGAATAGGTATCATCTAGAGAACAGGCAGGTATCATCTAGACAATAGGTAATCATCTAGAGAACAGGAGCATCTACCCATAGAGAACAGGTATCATCTGGATGGTAACAATTGGTCTTCAGCAACCCTAGAGAATAGGTATCATCTAGGCTATCATCTAGAGAACAGGTATCATCTCTAGACAATGGGTAATAGGTATCATCTAGAGAACAGGTATCATCTAGAGATCGGTATCATCTAGAGAATTAGGTATCATCTAGAGCAGGTATCATCTAGAGAACAGGTATCATCTAGAGAATAGGTATCATCTAGAGAAGTGGTATCATCTAGAGAACAGGTATCATCTAGAGAATAGGTATCATCTAGAGAACAGGTATTATCTAGAGAACAGGGCCCAGAATTCAGATGGTCACTGTTTTCTGAGCAGAGCATCTACCCATTGTCTGGATGGTAACAATTGGTCTTCAGCAACCCAGGCTTGTTGTAAGAGACAACTAACGAGATCGGGTGGTCAGGCTCACTGACTTGGTTGACACATGTCATTGTACCCCAACTGAGTAGATTGATACCCATGCTGTTGATCGCTGGATTGTCTGGTCCAGGCTCAATTATTCACAGACTGCCGCTCGAACATAGCTGAGTGCAGCTTTAAACATAGCTGAGTGCAGCTTTAATATTCAAACAAAATCTGACACCAGATGGTCACTGGCTTTAACCCTGGACCGCCATACATACACCCCCACCGCTGCCACAGTGTTAAAGATGTTAACGAATGCCATATATACAGATGTTGCTGTTGCTGCCTGCCTGGTACTCGCATGCTTAGGACACACACGCTTCTCCACAAAGGTTTTACCCACCTGTCTGAAACACGGACATCTGTCGGCTGGTGTTCCGATCGACATACAGAAGGCTGGACGAGGCATCATTGACAGGACACCCACTGATTAACGGTTTACCATAGTCATATCCTGGAAACACAACAGTGAGTGAGTGAGTGAGTGGGTGGGAGGGTTGATGGGTGGCTTGGGTGAGTGAGTGGGTGTATTATCAAAACTTGACCATTTATACAACCATGAAGTCTGTATTTTGTTTCAGTTGAAACTTTTAGCTGACAAGATTTTGTCTAAATTATCACCTGGTTTTCCAGATCGGTCAAAGGCCCCTGTTTGGTTTTCGTAGTTGTCAGAGCTGTCACTCTGGATGGCCATTTCATGCTTAAATTTCACATCAAAACTCTGAGTCAGACTTGGTGGGTTGACACCTAACGCAATCGGTGCTAAAATCACTGTGGCATTCAAATTAATGATACGCTGACCAGACCAGGTGAAACTGTAGCGAACATCCACTACTACATTGTTGCAAACATTTGCTACAAGCGACGGAACTAGTGGTCGAGTATAACCATCATCCCATGGGCAACGTGGAGGAAGTGACTTCACATTCTCCTGATCTTGATTGTACTGTAGGCAAGCGGGTTCACTACACGGCAAGCTACAGTTTTCTGTGTTCAATTCTTGTTGAAATGTCCATGACACTGTTGGACTGACCAAATCGCTGTATTTTACAGATGATTTTACATAGCTCGCATCGTTAACATCACAGTAATAACTGACATATGTATTGGCAATTGTTCCACCATAGGTCTCAAGAATTCGATATGCCTCTGGACAGGGAGGGTGAGTCGTTGATGTCATCTCTGCGTACATCCTGGCACTGAGCATGGAGTCTGCTGTGCACATGCTGCGGACGTTGTTGTGCACGCAGTCAGATGATCTGTCCTGCTGGAAACGGACTGGCACGACGTTGAGGCATGCCCCTCCCATGGACCTTGCTGGAAGGGTTAGCACACCTCTGGGGGAGGAGGGAAGGTCCCCCCTTCTGGTCCGGATATTGGCACCTTCCTTGTACCCAACCAGACCCGAATTAGGGTCAGTGAATCGACGCTCTGTCTCCCTGCAACAAAAACATCTTGTCAAGGAGTGAATTCTTTAAACAATTTAGACTTTATTTATGACTGTGTGGAGACATCAATCAAAAGGGAACAATTTATTTATTAATTCTAGAAACATCACAGAAGAATAAAGAATCTGGGCTGGGTTAGTGAATAATTACATCTGGGCCAGACAAACCATTGGTTAATATTATGATGACGTAATCAACCAATTCACACTGTCCTGTTCTAACCAGATTGAGTCACATACGTGTACCAGTAGGGCTGTCCTGTTCTAACTAGATCGAGTCACATAGGTGTACCAGTAGGGCTGTCCTGTTCTAACTAGATCAAGTCACATAGGTGTACCAGTAGGGCTGTCCTGTTCTAACTAGATCAAGTCACATACGTGTAGCAGTAGGGCTGTCCTGTTCTAACCAGATCACATAGGTGTAACAGTAGGGCTGTCCTGTTCTAACTAGATCGAGTCACATAGGTGTACCAGTAGGGCTGTCCTGTTCTAACTAGATCAAGTCACATAGGTGTACCAGTAGGGCTGTCCTGTTCTAACTAGATCAAGTCACATAGGTGTACCAGTAGGGCTGTCCTGTTCTAACTAGATCAAGTCACATAGGTGTAGCAGTAGGGCTGTCCTGTTCTAACCAGATCGAGTCACATAGGTGTACCAGTAGGGCTGTCCTGTTCTAACCAGATCGAGTCACATAGGTGTACCAGGAGGGCTGTTCTGTTCTAACCAGATCAAGTCACATAGGTGTACCAGTAGGGCTGTCCTGTTCTAACCAGAGGGAGACAGCAGACTGTACCTGTAGGAGTATGTTGCCGTCTGCTCTGACAGCCGGGTGTTGAAGGCTGTGTCTGTCTTCACTGCTGCTGTGTTGCCATAGAACAGCCCTAGGAGGGCATTAGTCTCAAACTCCACACACATCATCGGGAACCAGTCTTCTTTCAAGGTGTGGTTAGAGTAACAGCTGCGAAATGGTGTCACAGAGCCTTGGCCTCCGTATGGACCGGGCAGACAGTAGCTGAATGTGTTTCGCTTGTCAGCTGTGCAGTCCTGTAGAGCAAAATGTTTTCATGAATCTTTTAATTACGTTGATAATAATATACATGGAAAATGTACATTATAATCTTTTTTTTCCGCTGAAAATAATCTTATGTATTATAAATACCTATTTCAGTCAGTCATGTTCGTGCTCTTACATGATGGGCAGTAAATAACTGAGTCTGGACCAAACAAATCAGTGATTGATATTGTCAATCCACTCCATAGGGTATGTTGACACTTAAAGTCACTGAACATGACCCTCTGGGTGCCATTCCACAAAACGATCATAGCGCTAAGATGATCGTAACTCCCATACTTCAACCTAGACTTACGACAGTCGTAGCGCTACGATCGCTTTGTGGAACGGGCTCCTGAGCTGTTTACCTAGTTGTTTGTCATATGATGAGACTGCTGAGAAAACAGGGAATGGTTACACTGACTCACCGCATCGCAGCAGCAGTTGATGTCACAGACGGAGTAGGTCAGGTCACAGGGACATGGTGCCACCTCCACAAAGCTGGGGTTCTGTATAACCCTCTCCGATCCCACACTGCCCGACGCTGAAACATCAGTCAATATTATCAGCTACCACCCTCTCCGAGCCCACACTGCCCGAGGCTGAAACATCAGTCAACATTATCAACTACCACCCTCTCCGAGCCCACACTGCCCGACGCTGAAACATCAGTCAACATTATCAACTACCACCCTCTCCGAGCCCACACTGCCCGACGCTGAAACATCAGTCAATATTATCAACTACCACCCTCTCCGAGCCCACACTGCCCGGCTGAAACATCAGTCAACATTATCAACTACCACCCTCTCCGAGCCCACACTGCCCGACGCTGAAACATCAGTCAATATTATCAACTACCACCCTCTCCGAGCCCACATTGCCCGACACTGAAACATCAGTCAATATTATCAGCTACTGACCTCTCCGAGCCCACACTGCCCGACGCTGAAACATCAGTCAATATTATCAACTACCGACCTCTCCGAGCCCACACTGCCCGACGTTGAAACATCAGTCAATATTATCAGCTACCACCCTCTCCGAGCCCACACTGCCCGAGGCTGAAACATCAGTCAACATTATCAACTACCACCCTCTCTCGAGGCCCACATTGCCCGACGCTGAAACATCAGTCAATATTATCAACTACCACCCTCTCCGAGCCCACACTGCCCGACGCTGAAACATCAGTCAATATTATCAACTACCACCCTCTCCGAGCCCACACTGCCCGACGCTGAAACATCAGTCAATATTATCAGCTACCACCCTCTCCGAGCCCACACTGCCCGACGCTGAAACATCAGTCAATATTATCAACTACCACCCTCTCCGAGCCCACACTGCCCGACGCTGAAACATCAGTCAATATTATCAACTACTGACCTCTCCGAGCCCACACTGCCCGATGCTGAAACATCAGTCAATATTATCAACTACCACCCTCTCCGAGCCCACACTGCCCGACGCTGAAACATCAGTCAATATTATCAGCTACCACCCTCTCCGAGCCCACACTGCCCGATGCTGAAACATCAGTCAATATTATCAACTACCACCCTCTCCGAGCCCACACTGCCCGACGCTGAAACATCAGTCAATATTATCAACTACCACCCTCTCCGAGCCCACACTGCCCGATGCTGAAACATCAGTCAATATTATCAACTACTGACCTCTCCGAGCCCACACTGCCCGATGCTGAAACATCAGTCAATATTATCAACTACCACCCTCCGAGCCCACACTGCCCGACGCTGAAACATCAGTCAATATTATCAACTACCACCCTCTCCGAGCCCACACTGCCCGATGCTGAAACATCAGTCAATATTATCAACTACCACCCTCTCCGAGCCCACACTGCCCGACGCTGAAACATCAGTCAATATTATCAACTACCACCCTCTCCGAAAGCCACACTGCCCGATGCTGAAACATCAGTCAATATTATCAACTACCACCCCTCTCCGAGCCCACACTGCCCGACGCTGAAACATCAGTCAATATTATCAACTACCACCCTCTCGAGCCCACACTGCCCGATGCTGAAACATCAGTCAATATTATCAACTACCACCCTCTCCGAGCCCACACTGCCCGATGCTGAAACATCAGTCAATATTATCAACTACCACCCTCTCCGAGCCCACACTGCCCGATGCTGAAACATCAGTCAATATTATCAACTACCACCCTCTCCGAGCCCACACTGCCCGATGCTGAAACATCAGTCAATATTATCAACTACCACCCTCTCCGAGCCCACACTGCCCGATGCTGAAACATCAGTCAATATTATCAACTACCACCCTCTCCGAGCCCACACTGCCCGATGCTGAAACATCAGTCAATATTATCAACTACCGACCTCTCCGAGCCCACATTGCCCGACACTGAAACATCAGTCAATATTATCAGCTACCACCCTCTCCGAGCCCACACTGCCCGACACTGAAACATCAGTCAATATTATCAGCTACCATTGACCGACACCATCAGATCAACTACACTGCCCGATGCTGAAACATCAGTCAATATTATCAACTACCACCCTCTCCGAGCCCACACTGCCCGACGCTGAAACATCAGTCAATATTATCAACTACCGACCTCTCCGAGCCACACTGTCGGACGCTGAAACATCAGTCAATATTATCAACTACCTACCTCTCCGAGCCCACATTGCCCGACGCTGAAACATCAGCGTGTCAAATCTGGGATTCAAACCAAAAACCACTGGATGCAAAACCTGCACAACATAATGCTTTGAGCACAGTCCATTCTCTGGAAATTGCAAATGCGCAGATCAAGCTATGATTGCATAAAAAGCAATGATGATAAAATGCTGACAATGATGTAGTTGGTGCTTACATGGTCCCCCGGTGCAGTTGGAGCAGAAGTCAGGGCTGAGGTCGTTTGCAGTCAGCATAGCGGCGGCCATCCCCGTGTACTTGGGTGTACTGTCCCTCACACAACAGGTCAGTACAACTAACTCGGTTACCGGGGCGATAACCGCCCGCTCACGTCGGACAGTCACTGTCTTGTATGTCTGACCTCTCTGGAATGGAATGAGATATGATGGTGAGTGAAAGGGTGAGTGAATGGGTGGGTGAGTGAATGGGTGGGTGAGTGAATGGGTGGGTGGGTGAGTGAATGGGTGAGTGAATGGGTGAATGGATGAGTGAGTGAGTGAGTGAGTGAGTGAGTGAGTGAGTGAGTGAGTGAGGAGTGAGGGTTGGTGGGTGGGTGGGTGAGAGAGTGAGTGAGTGAGTGAGTGAGTGAGTGAGTGAGTGAGTGAGTGAGTGAGTGAGTGAGTGAGTGGGTGGGTGGGTGAGAGAGAGAGTGAGTGAGTGAGTGAGTGAGTGGGTGAGAGAGAGAGAGAGTGAGTGAGTGAGTGAGTGAGTGAGTGAGTGAGTGAGTGAGTGAGTGAGTGAGTGAGTGAGTGAGCGAGCCACTGTTAGAAATATTCCACTGTGTAAATATTCTGCATAAGAAACAGTGATGAATTACATCATTTTTGATGTCCACAAAGTACAACACATAATCTGCAGGGTCAAACTATACAGCAGGTGAAGGGATTCCATTAAATCTCACTGAATAAATACATATTTATTATGCCATGTAATAATTTAATCAAAATGCAAAATTCTCAGTAAAAACATTATTCTAGTTTTCTTCACATTGAAAGTTACATAAGCAGGACACTGTTCAAACCGCTTTTCCTTACATTTGTAAAGGTGAATGAGGGTTCGTCTGGTTTCCATGGTGATGACAGGTCTACAGGGATGGGTGTAGTAGTTGGCGTCGATGGTGTTGTTGTAGTTGCATTTGGGTCGGTGGTGGAGTTGTCAGTGGCTGCAAGTATAGCATTAAATGTCAGGACAAGCTAACACATGATGCCACACATCATCGGATACCGCAGCCTGGGCTGTATGATCCCCAGGGAGTTGAGAATGATAACGGGTAGAATATGGATTCACTGGTCAGGGATAAATAAACCACATATGAGCAGATACTAGTACCTGGAAATTGTGGGAAAAAAGTACATTAATGATAAGGCTTACAGTTGGTTGGCTGGTCCGTCGTTTAACACCGCACTCAGCAATATTCCAGCTATAAGGAGGCGGTCTGTAAATAATCGAGTCTGGACCAGACAAGCCAGTGAGTGATCAATAGCATGAGCATCGATCTATGCCATTGGATACGATGACATGTGTCAACCAAGTCAGCGAGCCTGACCACCTGATCCTGTTAGTCACCTGTTATGACAAGCATGGGTTGCTGAAGACCAATTCTAACCCGGCACCAGGAAACTAACTATCCTAAGTCTACAACATTCAATAGACCAGTCTGAAATGATACAGTACAGTGGGCACCAGGAAACTAACTATCGTAAGTCTACAACATTCAATAGACCAGTCTGAAATGATACACTACAGTGGGCACCAGGAAACTAACTATCGTAAGTCTACAACATTCAATAGACCAGTCTGAAATGATACACTGCAGTGGGCACCAGGAAACTAACTATCCTGAAAGTCTACAACATTACAACATTCAAATAGACCAGTCTGAAATGATACACTAGAGTGGGCACCAGGAAACTAACTATCGTAAGTCTACAACATTCAATAGACCAGTCTGAAATGATACACTAGAGTGGGCACCAGGAAACTAACTATCGTAAGTCTACAACATTCAATAGACCAGTCTGAAATGATACACTGGAGTGGGCAGCAGGAAACTAACTATCCTAAGTCTCAACATTCAACATTCAATAGACCAGTCTGAAATGATACACTGAAAGTGGGCACCAGGAAACTAACTATCCTAAGTCTACAACATTCAATAGACCAGTCTGAAATGATACACTGCAGTGGGCACCAGGAAACTAACTATCCTAAGTCTACAACATTCAATAGACCAGTCTGAAATGATACACTGCAGTGGGCACCAGGAAACTAACTATCCTAAGTCTACAACATTCAATAGACCAGTCTGAAATGATACACTGCAGTGGGCACCAGGAAACTAACTATCCTAAGTCTACAACATTCAATAGACCAGTCTGAAATGATACACTGCAGTGGGCACCAGGAAACTAACTATCCTAAGTCTACAACATTCAATAGACCAGTCTGAAATGATACACTGCAGTGGGCACCAGGAAACTAACTATCCTAAGTCTACAACATTCAATAGACCAGTCTGAAATGATACACAATGAATGGTTTTCGAGTTATGCTCTGGAAACAAAATGATTATGGATGGACGAGGCATGGACTATATACCCCATGCATTACATAATCAATTGTGAATGAAGCATATGTGTTTAGTCAGTCTAGTACTGCCAACACAACAACTGAGCCCAACATGACACGATACAATACCTGCCATTTCATTGTACACAGTGATAGAGTGACTTGAGTACAAAGTGGGATGATTCTTTAACTGAGAGGTGAAAACAGACACTAACACCACATACAGCTTGATACTAAACAGATTCCATCTAAAAACACATCTAGTATCTCAAAATGATTTGGTGAGCAACAGGTGAAACGACAACAAACGTGCTACAGTTAATGAGGCTGACTTCTATCTATCACCATCTTGTCACTCTTACCCATTGTTTGTTGCCAGGGTTGGTGAGATTGGAAAAAATAATACATAAATAATGAATGATAGCAATAAGTATTGACATGAATCAGTCATGGCCTTCAATATAATAACAGTGCTGTAACAAAGGTTAGTGAATTATTTTTTAATATTGACATTTTTTCAGTTGTATCACAAATAATGTCACTACTTGCACATCAAACCATAAGGATGATGCTAAACTTTACACTTTAATGTAAGTCAGGGCTCAACTGTCCAATCTATATGTGTACAAAATGGATGACCCCCATACCTCCCAGAACAAAATGGGTGACCCCCTTTAAAATCAACCCCACCCCCATCCCCAACCCTAGCCATAAATTATGAGCGCGCCCCTAAACAAGTAACAATGAGGCAACTATAGGCAGTATGCAGAATTATGCAGATAGAAACTTATGTTTGAACCATATACATTTCTACATTAGATTAATCACACAAATTTCAATTCAGCAGATTCTCATGATGTTTACATGAAGGGTTTCATTACACAATGTCATTTAGAAAGTGGTCAAGCGTAACATGTGTTATATTTGGAATAACACTTTCTTAGTAAAGTACAAATTCTAGTACTTTTTGAGTTGAGCCCCATCCGGGATTCCAACTCACACCCTCAGAACCAGGCACCTAATCGCCAGCACACAAAGTCAGCTGCCTAACCGGCAGCTCAGCTACCGTGACTTCCGCGGTAGGTGGCCGGAGGTTAAGCGGCTGTACTATAGAGATATGTACCTTTGTGTTCTGGCAATTTAAATATATGACCGTCTATAAGCCGAATTTTGAGGACCCAAAATATATGTCTTTAGAAGGGGGTCGTCTTATCTATGAGATACAATTTCACGGAAATATTTTTCAGCTCGCCAGTGCCCTGCCATGATGAGGTTACCGATATATCTGCCAGGATGTTTGCCACGATTACAGCGTTTATGTTGTGAATGATGAATAAAATACATATTAACCTGTACGTTTTCATTATTTCAACATATTATTACATATTAATCAGCATGACATTTATCGTACCTACCTATTTGAAGTCACAAAAACACCACAACAACGAGTCCGGTCGCCATTTGCAAAATGACATGTGCCAGCAATCAGCTGTTTCCTGTGACGTCACATACGGTGAGGAGTTTGTTTGCTTACCGTTGTTTTAGGGCGATGCTTTGTTTTGAATTTCTGACGTCCAAAAACCGAAAAGAAGAAGACGATGTGTTAACTTGTGACAATCTGGATGATTACTACGATGATACAACCAACGAATTAGCGTGGACAGAACTGGCTGGCGAGGACAGTGACACGGAATTTGATGGGTTTACGGCCGATGACTTGTGAAAATATAAGAACTCTCTTGCAAAAAGTGTTTATTGTTAGTGGACTATTTTTCTTATTGTCATATATATATATATAGATGAAATATAAACACTTAAATAATATATTTTGAAACAAAAGTTGACTTCAGTTTTTATTTACCGATGGTACTTTTTCTCTTGGGTTCACATTTCCATACTCACCGATTTCACAAAATGGCGTCTCGTTGTTGATGCAAGCAGTGATCGTCGGGATATAAAAAGGAACACAAACACATGTTGCCACAATACACGGTAATCTTTATGTAATATTCTCACCAACACTTACGCTGTATATCCACTTTCCAAAGGGTGTCTCGTTGTTGATGCAAGCAGTGATCGTTAAAAAGGTAAACAAACACGGTAATCTTTATGTAATATTCTCACCAACACTTACGCTGTATATCCACTTTCCAAATGGTGTCTCGTTGTTGATGCAAGCAGTGATCGTTAAAAAAGGTAAACAAACACCGATAATCTTTATTATGTAATATTCTCGTAATGGTGTCTCTGGTCGTTGATGGAACATATTTACCGGGTACTCTGGTCTCTGTTGGCGCGACCATCGCAGGGGTCGGCCTATCCATGAGAGATATGATTTTGACACTGATTTTGAGGGTCAAGTTTGGGGGTCGGCTTATACATGGGATGGGCTTATAGGCGGTCATATCGATGGTAGTGCCTGACTCTGAGGGTGTGAGTTGAATCTCGGATGGGGCTCAACTCAAAAGTGCTAGAATTTGTGCTTTACTAAGAAAGTGTAATCCCAAATATGACATATGTTACATGAAGAGTTTGGTCCTGACAAATCTGGAAACATAATCTGGATTCAAACCCAGAATACAGGTCCCACACATTCTGTGGGATGCAGCTCTACCTAGTCAACTGCAACACCATAGACAGCTGGGACGACTGTTGCCCACAACTTTTTAAATAATGATAATGTGAGCGAGCAAGCGCTTTAACTACAGGGCTACCTCGCAGCCCTTACATGAATAGCGATGCATGTCATCATGAAGACATACTATTTCATCCTTCAGATCAGAGAAACAAAAGACACTGACTTGGAGGACTTGTTGCTGGCGTAGTCGTTGGTGGTGATGTTGCTACAGGCGTGGTTGTGGCGTTCGCTGTTGTGAAGTTGCACAGAGGTGTTTGAATCAGCTGAAGGGCTTGGGTCATGCTGTCTGCGACAACAGCCTGACACTCAAAACTGATGCCATTGTCAGCTGATACACCCGCATCTAGCGTCAGCATACCCTACAAGTACAGGCACCATACAAGTATCCGCATACCCTACAAGTACAGGCATCATACAAGTATCAGTATACCCTACAAGTACAGGCACCATACAAGTATCAGTATACCCTACAAGTAAAGGCACCATACAAGTATCAGCATACCCTACAAGTACAGGCACCATACAAGTATCAGCATACCCTACAAGTAAAGGCACCATACAAGTATCAGTATACCCTACAAGTAAAGGCACCATACAAGTATCAGCATACCCTACAGGTAAAGGAATTACCATGCAAGTATCAGCATACCCTTACAAGTAAAGGCACCATACAAGTATCAGCATACCCTACGGGTAAAGGTACCATACAAGTATCAGCATACCTTACTACAGGTAAAGGTGCCATACAAGTATCAGCATACCCTAAGGTAAAGGTACCATACAAGTATCAGCATACCCTACAAGTAAAGGTACCCTACAGTATCAGCATACCCTACGGGTAAAGGTACCATACAAGTATCAGCATACCCTACAAAGTAAAGGCACCATACAGGTATCAGCATACCTTACAAGTAAAGGCTCCACTTACAGGTATCAGCATACCCTACAAGTGCCGGGCACCATGCAAATTATCAACATACCCTACAGGTAAAGGCACCATACAGGTATCAGCTGTACCCTACAGAGTTAAAGGCTCCCATACAAGTATCAGCATACCCTACAGGTAAAGGTGCCATACAAAGGTATCAGCATGCCCTACAGAGTAAAGGCTACCATACAAATTATCAGCGTACCCTACAAGGAAAGGCACCATACAAGTATCAGCATGCGCCTACAAATTATCAGCATACCCTACCACGGGTAAAGGCGCCATACAAGTATCAGCATACCCTACAAGTAAAGGGCACCATACAAAGTATCAGCATATGCCCTACGGGTAAAGGTGCCATACAAGGGGTATCAGCACATGCCCTTACAAGGTAAAGGCGCCATAACAAGTATCAGCATGCCCTACGGGTTGAGGTGCCCATACAAGTATCAGCGTACCCTACAGGTAAAGGTGCCATACAAATTATCAGCATGCCTAGTAAAGGTGCCATCGGGTATCGGCGTTTTACAGGTGAGATTGCCATACAAAGTATCAACATACGCCTACAAATTAAAGGCCATACCATACAAGTATCAGCCTGCCACCCTACAGTTAAAGGGCTCCATTACAAGTATCATTATGCCCTACCAGGTAAAGGGTGCCATACAAAGTATCAGCATGTACCCTGCAAGATCAGGGCACCATACAGGGTATCAGCATGCCCTACAAGGTATCAGCATACCCTGGAGTAAAGGCGCCATACAGGTATCGGCAGCGTACCCTACAAAGTAAAGGGCTGCCATAAGCAAAGTATCAGCGTATTACCCTGATATGCCGGCATCCATACAAGGTATCAGCATGCCCTGGCTAAGGATCGGGCACCATACATAAAGTATCAGCATTACCCCATAAGTATCAGCGTACCCTACAATTAAAGGCAACCATGCAAGTATCAGCATACCAGCGCAAAAGTAAAGGGCGCCATACGAAATTATCAGCATTACCCTGGGTAAAGATTTGCCCAAATTATCAACATACGCCCTACGGTTAACCGGGCTCCATACAAGCAGGTATACCCCAAAGCATGCCCTTGCCACAAAAGTAAAGGCTCCATACTGGTATCAATGCCCTGCAAATTAAAGGCACCAAATACTAAGTGTCGAAGTAAATCCTACACGGGTAAAGGTGCCATACAATTATCAAGCATACCCTGCACAAGTAAAGGCGCCATACAAGTATCAGCATACCCTACAAGGTAAAGGTTGCCATACAAAGTATCAACATACCCTAGAGTAAAGGCACCATACAAGTATATCAGCATACCCCCTACGGTTAAAGGTAAGCCCATACAAGTATCAGCATACCCTACAGTGGCAGGCCGGCACCATACAAAATTATCAGCATATGCCTTACAAGTACCGGCACCATACAAGTATCAGTATACCCTACAAGTAAAGGCTCCATTACAAAAGTATCAGCATACCCTACAAATTAAAGGCTCCATACAAGCATCGGAGTATACCCTACAAAGTAAAGGCACCATACAAGTATCAGCATACCCTACAAGTAAAGGCACCATACAAGTATCAGCATACCCTACAAGCAAGTAAAGGCACCATACAAGTATCAGCATACCCTACAAGTAAAGGCTCCATACAAAGTATCAGCATACCCTACAGGTTAAAGGCGCCATACAAGCATCAGCATACCCTACAAAGTACCGGCACCATACAAGTATCAGCAAATACTCCTACAAGTATCAACCAAACGCACCACACAGTAAGCTCCATCAGTATCAATACCCTACAAGTAAGGCACCACCATACAAGTATCGGCATACCCTACAAATTAGGAGCACCATGCAAGTATCACCCATTACCCAAGTATCCATTCATATTCCTTATCAGCACCTTCCATACCAAGGCACCTTCAATCCATACAAGTATCAGCATTCTCTACAAGTCCATGCCATTACCATCAGCATGCCCTTACAAGCAAGTTCCCTCCATACATGTCAGTATACTCTACAAGCAGCATGCTACCCTACAAGTAAAGGCACCATACAAGTATCAGCATACCCTACAAGCATTAGTGCGCACGTCCTACAAGCAAACCGCACCCTAAAGTATCAGAGCACCTCTACAAGTATCAGTGTATTAATTCCTACAAGTAAAGGCAAGAGCATCGCGCCATACAAGTATCAGTATTACCCTACAAGTAAAGGCATGGATACAAGTATCAGTATACCCTACAAGTAAAGGCTCCATACAAGCATAGCATACCCTACAAACCGGGTTATACAAGCACATACCCCTACAAGTAAAGGCTCCATACAAGTATCAGTATACCCTACAAGCTTAAAGGCTCCATACAAGTATCCAGCATGCCCTACAAATTAAGGCTCCATACAAATACAAGCATCAATTATACCCTGACAAGTAGGTCTTCCATCAAGTGTCAGCATACCCTACAAGTAAGGCATTCCATACAAGGTCAGTACCCTACCCTACAAGTATCAGCAGGCTAAAACCATACAAGTATCAGCATACCCTACAAGTAAAGGCTCCATCCTGCAGGCATCAGGTATACCCCATACAAGTATCAGTATACCGCAATTGTCTCCTACAGGTAAGGTCCTACAAGTCAATACCCCGCCAAGGCACCATACAAGTATCAGCATATCCCTACAAGTAAAGGCACCATACAAGTATCAGCATACCCTACAAGTACCGGGCACCATACAAGTATCAGCATGGCCCCTACAAGCACCAGGCTCCATACAAATTATCAGCATACCCTACAAGTACCGCACCAAGCACAAGTATCAGTATCACCCTACAAGTTAAAGGCTCCATACAAGTATCGAGTATGCCCTACAGGTAAAGGCTCCGCCACAAGTATCAGCATACCCTACAAGTAAAGGCACCATACAAGTATCAGCATACCCTACAGGTTAGGGCACCCTACAAGTATCAACATACCCTACAGGTTAAAGGCTCCATACAAAGTATCAACATACCCTACAAGTAAAAGGCTACCCATACAGAGTATCAGCATACCCTACAAGTAAAGGCACCATACAAGGTATCAGCATACCCTACAGGTAAAGGTTACCATACAGAGTATCAACATACCCTACAAGTAAAGGCACCATACAGAGTATCAGCATACCCTACAGACTAAGGTGCCATACAAAAGTATCAACATACCCTACAAGTAGGCACCACATCAAGTATCAGCATACCCTACAGTTAAAAGGCTCCATACAAGTATCAGCATGCCCTACAGTTAAAGGCACCATACAAGTATCAGTGCATACCCTACAAGTACCCGCACCATACAAGTATCAGTATACCCTACAAAGTAAAGGCTCCATACAAGTATCAGCATGCCCTACAAATTAAATCAGCTCCATACAAGTAAGTATCAGCATACCCTACAAGTAAAAGGCACCATACAAGTATCAGCATGCCCCTACAAGTAAAGGCACCATACAAGTATCAGCATGCCCTACAAGTAAAGGCACCATACAAGTATCAGCATACCCTACAGTTAAAGGCTCCATACAAGTATCAGCATACCCTACAGTTAAAGGCACCATACAAGTATCAGCATACCCTACAAGTACCGGCACCATACAAGTATCAGCATACCCTACAAGTAAAGGCACCATACAAGTATCAGCATACCCTACAAGTACAGGCACCATACAAGTATCAGTATACCCTACAAGTAAAGGCACCATACAAGTATCAGCATACCCTACAAGTAAAGGCACCATACAAGTATCAGCATGCCCTACAAGTAAAGGCACCATACAAGTATCAGCATGCCCTACAAGTAAAGGCTCCATACAAGTATCAGCATGCCCTACAAGTAAAGGCTCCATACAAGTATCAGTATACCCTACAAGTATCAGCATACCCTACAAAGTAAAGGCACCATACAAGTATCAGCATACCCTACAAGTATCAGCATGCCCTACAAGTAAAGGGCACCATAAAGTATCAGTATACCCTACAAGTATCAGTATATCCTACAAGTAAAGGCACCATACAAGTATCAGCATACCCTACAAGTACCGGCACCATACAAGTATCAGCATACCCTACAAGTAAAGGCATGATACAAGTATCAGTATACCCTACAAGTAAAGGCTCCATACAAGTATCAGCATACCCTACAAGTACCGGCTCCATACAAGTATCAGCATACCCTACAACCAAAGGCTCCATACAAGTATCAGTATACCCTACAAGTAAAGGCTCCATACAAGTATCAGCATGCCCCCTACAAGTAAAGGCTCCATACAAGTATCAGTATACCCTACAAGTCAAGGGCACCATACAAGTATCAGTATACCCTACAAGTAAAGGCTCCATACAAGTATCAGCATACCCTACAAGTAAAGGCATCATACAAGTATCAGTATACCCCTACAAAGTACCGGCCCATACAAGTATCAGCATACCCTACAAAGTACCGGCACCATACAAGTATCAGCATACCCTACAAGTGCCGCACCATACAAGTATCAGCATACCCTACAAGTACCCGGCACCATACAAGTATCAGCATACCCTACAAGTACCCGCACCATACAAGTATCAGCATACCCTACAAGTAAAGGCTCCATACAAGTATCAGTATACCCTACAAGTAAAGGCTCCATACAAGTATCAGCATACCCTACAAGTACCGGCACCATACAAGTATCAGCATACCCTACAAGAAATTACCGGCACCATACAAGTATCAGCATACCCTACAAGTACCACCATACAAGTATCAGCATACCCTGTAGTGGTCAGTCAGTATTGCTCTGAGTTACCTTGAATGAGCTGGAAGTAGGCTGGATTGATGACCGGGAGAAGGGTGACCTTCCCAACACTCTGGGAGAACACTGTTGAAGTGGTATCTGTCAACAGATCATGGACTCGTGAATACAAGAGGCATTTGCTCACATCGACTTGAAAAAGCTTTCAAATGAAATTGGAAAATATTGCTAAAAAAAATTATCTGGATGCTGGAAAAATCACACTCGTGAAGAAATAAATTCAATTCTAATCATGACTTCAATTGACCCCCCGCCTGTCTCCCCGCCCTGTCTCACCTGCAGATGTGGCATTAAGATACTGTTGCCCGCCCTGTCTCACCTACAGATGCACATTAAGATACTGGTTGCCCCAACCCTGTCTCACCTACAGATGTGGCATTAAGATACTGGTTGCCCAAACCGTTGTCTCACCTACAGATGTGGCATTAAGATATTGGTTGCCCCAACCCTGTCTCACCTACAGATGTGGCATTAAGATAATGGTTGCCCCCAACCCTGTCTCACCTGCAGATGTGGCATTAAGATAATGGTTGCCCCAACCCTGTCTCACCTGCAGATGTGGCATTAAGATAATGGTTGCCCCACCCTGTCTCACCTACAGATGTGGCATTAAGATATTGGTTGCCCCCACCTTGTCACACCTGCAGATGTAGCAGTGAGATACTGGTTGCCCCACCCTGTCTCACCTGCAGATGTACCAGTGAGATACTGGTTGCCCCCGCCCTGTCTCACCTGCAGATGTACCAGTGAGATACTGGTTGCCCCGCCCTGTCTCACCTGCAGATGTACCAGTGAGATACTGTTTGCCCCCACTCTGTCTCACCTGCAGATGAAGTGCTGAGATACTGGTTGCCCCCGCCCTGTGAGTTGGCCGTGCATGAGACTTGAGAAAAAGGTCCTTGTGATGTGATCTGGTATCGAGCCTAGAAACATACACACCATCAGAATAGTTTCTTGTGGCTAGTGATTTAGCCGAAACAACAGAACTGTTGTTATATATCACGCAAAGATACAACATGTATTCCAGTAGTAATAGGAGAGGTGGGGTTAAAGCGTTGGCTGGTCATGCTGAAGACCCGGGGTTCGAATCCCATTTCTGGTGTCCCCTGCCGTGATGTTGCTGGAATATTGCTAAAAGCAGCGTACAACAAATTTCAGTCAGTCCAGTGGTAATACAACTCATGTACTTTAACACTGCTAAACTGGACAGCACTGTTCATAAATAACATAAACCTGGTGACAACAATTGGACAAGAACATATGGTACACAACTACTTACAGTCACTTTACTTTCGTTGATATCCACTGTAAACTGTGGTATTGTCACATTCAGACCGCCTGCAATCAAAACGCCGGACATGTAGCAACTGGCATGGAAGAAAATCAATAATTCGTACAGGGAATCCTGTAAATCACGGAAGGAAAAGTAAAAATTCTGGCATTTTCATACTGTTTACATTTCAGTATTTAATTCAGTTACAGTTTGTACCAAAACTTACTGGTTCAAGTACCTCAAGTACTTCCAGCATCCTGAATTTAGTGACGTCATCAAGGCTGGACGTGCTGCTCTCAGCTCTCACAATCCTATGTGAGTTTTTCAACATATTCGAAGAAAATAGAGGAGGTTGCAAGCCGAAAATGTCACTAACGTGTGCATATATAAAACTTACATCATATATATAATTGTCATGAATGGATGGTCATTGACTTTATAGATATTTGATAGATTTAAAATGTCAGTGAAATTGATTGACCTCCATTACTGATATTGTCCACTTTCCGAGCACACGTGTTTACTCTGTTGACTTATGGATAACACACCAAATACTTCTAAATGAAACAGAGAAGAAGTATTTACGTCTCCCGAAAGTGAACTTGAAACCAAGAGACAGTGTAACACTATGTCAGTTTCGACTAACGCTAGTGTCTCAGAGTCTGTCTCTGATATGGAGTATCGAGAAGAAGCTGTATTTAAAGAATCATCCCCTACTAGTGAACTCGTAAAACAGCTACTTGTAGCCCTGCAGAATAATGAGATACTCTCTGTTATCGGCAGAGCAGTAGGCGAAGCTATTAAACCCACCTTCAGAGAGGAAATATCTCAACTATTCGAACAAAATAAACAGCTCGAAATGCAGGTTACAGAGCTTAAAGTCAAAGTAGATGAAAAAGATCACTTTTAATGACAAAGTTGACAGGATGAAACAATATTCACGGCGCAATAACGTCAGAATTACTGGTGTCCCAGAGGTAGCTGATGAGAACACAGATGAGATGGTTCTTAATATCGAAAATCTATCGGTGTTGACCTGTCCCCGACAGACATCGATATCAGTCATCGAGTGCCAAGGTTTCCTCCATCGCCCCAGTCCCATCCAAGACCGATCATCGTTATGTTTGTCAGCAATATGAGCAAACGTAACCTTCTTGCAAGTAGGTCTAAGCTGAAGACCAAACAACGATCTGTCAGTAAAATCTTCATTAATGAAGACCTCACCAAAACCAGAGCTCTGCTAGCTAATGAAGCCAGACGTGAAGGAGGGGAAGATAGAATCCACCTGGGTAACGGGGGGAGTCATCCTGGTGAAGTTCAAGGACGGAAAGCTTCCAAAAGGTCGCTACAAAGACCCATTTACAAGAAGTCTGTGATCAAACTAGACTGACAATGGTAATTTCGCTGATCCAGGACTCTCACTAACACCAAATGGATATGTTTCTTCTCACACTAACTGTAAACACAATGACAAAGTATCCTTTCATGATGTTTATAACTGTTCACTCTTAGATAGAACATATTGTCTATTGCTAATATATATAAAAGTGACACTTGAACTACATAATGTGGCATGCACATTGGCATGTTTGTAGCACACTATACAATACCATGTTGGAATGTTACCAACAGTGGAGGTGTCAAATTACAATTGGTGTTAAAGTGTCAATACACAATGTTATGTGTCAGTGTTCACATGGTACAATAGCACTTGCCCATGGAAAGAGGAACGTGATCAGTGTTGTCTGTGACTGTGAGCACCGAGATGAAAGGTCTCAAATAACAGCACAAAAGTAAGTGTCTATCAAATCCTGCGTTTAAGGAGGCACCAGGAAAGAAAAAGACTATAATATTGATCTGTGACTTTCTATGGACTAACATTGTGTCCTCAAAAGTTGATGTGTGAATTATTAAGACATTAGCATTGTCTGTTTTTTGTTTGTTTGTTTTGGTTTTTTTTCTAATGCTATATCAGCCCATCACTGATAGTACTGGTATTGTAATTATATTTTCAGTGTCAGCGGCATGGTATTTCTTTGAAGCTTCACAATCATGTGTTGTACTGTCTTTTGGTTCTTAACCTGGTAAATGTTGGGCTACAATCAGGTGATGCTTTAATTTATTTATTTTTATTTATTTTTGTGGGTTTTTTTTACGCTCTAAACTCATGGACGGTATGGTTTGATTATGATTACTGGTTATTATAGATTCTTTTGAGGTCATAACCTGTTAAATATTCGCCTAAATGAAATTAGCAGTATTATGATTCCATTTTAAAGACGCTACATCTTTTACTTTATTTGATAACTATGTCACGAGAGGTCACCATGATCTGATGGTCACGGGTGTTTTTAAGAATACATGTGTATCAGCGTTGTCGAATAACATACTCATGAGTGATCGTGCTACATTCAATACATTTATTGAAAATTTTAACTATAAATTGTATATTTATATACTTATCCTATCTCACGACTTGCACCTCTCTCTCTTCATTCGACCATGAGTGGAAACGAATTAAAACTTTGCTCCAAGGCCTACCTTGCCCCTCTCCCGTGCTGTGCGTGCCTTCTGTGTCAGTCGTGCTCACTAGTCCATGACAGCACGAGGCATGCGCAGTCCTCACCCACGTGATCACCTCACATACTCATTCTCGATCTTGGAGCCATAAAAGGACAAAACCGGAACGGTGGTAATCTATGTAGTGGGGAGGTAGGGAGGGACTTTATCAGCGTGAGATAGGATAAGTATATAAATATACAATTTATAGTTAAAATTTTCAAATTTTTAAACTTATCCTATCTCACGACTTGCACTTATCCCACGGTAGGAAGGTGGGTCATAGATTACCGAAATTCAAGCGATAACAGCTAAGTGTTATGCCCAAACAACCGTAGGAAGCAACTACAAGGTAGGCCAATAACTACCAAGTTACTACGTCGCGAGGGTTAGTTCGAACCCATTGACTTACTAAGCACAATTGCTCCCAGGGACGGGATTCGAGCAATGTGGTGTTCAGTCACTACCTTCACAAAGTGAAAGGGCGTAGCTTAACGAGTGTAATCAGTCGCGCATCGCCACGATTTCCAAGGTACCCCGTAATAAAAGTCTAGCGACTAGTATCGGGCCAGCCCCTGCTTGAAACAACCCCACAGACACCGTCCGAGGAGGGTGAAAGAGAAATTGAATCGGTAAAACTCACAATTTTAGCGTTCAGTACCACAACATCATCTTATGACTTCCATTACTTACCACAATAAGATCACATAGATGTGTATAGGCACTTAGGAGCATGAACGCTACGAAGTGTAACACTTCGGGAAGGACTCACTTCACTGACTTAATTACTCCGTGGAGCAGAGGGCAGTAAGTGAGGTGGCGACTCTCTGTAGTCTCAAACAAATGAGAGGAGAAATCTAAATCCTGGAAGACGTAAATCAGAAAAAGTTTTCCAGATTTATTCAGATTGTACACAAGCAGAAACGATCGCGACTTGGGATCAACTGCACAGTGGGATCCATATAGCATCGAAGCACAAGGAAGTTCATTATCTGCGATGTTGTGCCGCTGATAACTGCTGGGCAAGGACGAGTGGTCCAAACTGATGAAGGCCTTGAATACCCGTCACCGACACATCTCTGAGGTAATGAGACGAAAAGACTGTGTCAGATCGCCAAAAACAACCCTCCATTATGGCAGTTAACGAGCAGTTGCTATGCAACGCCATAGTAGAAGCCAATGCCCTGGTTTCATGAGGGTTGACTGCGTGGAGGTGGTGGCAAACCCGCAAAAGTGTAGGCTCGTAGTATTGTAGCTCGTAGCCAATATGAGAGTGTTGTCGCGAGACTTCGCCTTGGAAGCAGTAGACAAGGGTATAAACAGTCTCTTCACGCAGACGGGTAGCTCTTGCGATGCTTTAGGTGCGCTTCTACGAAGTGTAACGCCGGGAATGACTCACTTCACTGGCGTAATTACTCCGTGGAGCAGGGGACAGTAAGTGAGGTGGCGACCCTCCAGCGTCTCAAAAGCAAGACCTGCGATGGTCAGTTCGAACCCATTGACTTACTAACCACAAGTGCTCCAGGGACGGGATTCCCGAGCAATGTGGTGTTCAGTCACTACCTTCATGCAAGTGAAAGGGAGTTTAGCTTAACGAGTGTAAACAGTCGCATTACCCCACGATTTCCAAGGTCTGGCGACCAGTATCGGGCCATCCCTGCTTGACACAACCCCCACAGACACCGTCCGTGGAGGGTGAAAGAGGTGAATTGAATCGGAAACTCACAAGTCCCAGAAGAATCGAAGACACAAATCAGAAATAAAATTCAAATTTTATTCAGATTGTACACAAAGCAGAAATGATGCGCAACTGGTGATCATCTGCGCTGAAAGCTGATGGTTGTCGAGTGCGAACAGGCGATAATGACAATGCTGAATTCCAATTCGTTGTGATGAAGGGCCCTTTCTCCTGATGACCACTGCTAGGCCACTTGATGGAGAAAGTAAAAGCCCCAGCTTGCAAGATGTGCCAGCGAATAGGTGTTGAGTCGGTATGAAGGGCACCCTTGAGACTCCAACACAAACATTCCACTTGTTGAGCCACCAACAAAAGACTGAATGTAGTTGTGCGGGAAGACGAATCAACTCCCT